GGTGCAATTCGTCCCTTCGGATGACTCAACTCTAGGGAAACTCGCCGCGACGATAAGGCGTCGACTCTTTCGCAGGTAAGTCCAAAAGAAAAAAAGGTGGGCAAGAAACGTGAAAAATTCCTAACTCGACCGATAACAGGATAAGGTCCAACCCCCACCGAGATTTGATTCGAGTCTTCCCCGCGCGGCGTCCGAAGAGGACGGTTTACCGGTTTCTAAACAATTAGCGAATTTCTAACAAGCCACCGACAATAGACCACCCTCGTTTCATGGAGCGAAATTAAATACACGCATACCGATGCGTTAGTCGCGCTACATCGTTGATATCGTGGCGGAAAATCGCGTCACATTGTAAACGGATTTTTTCCCATCCCCCCAGGAACCGTTAAAAAGTAGAGACGGTTGTAAAAAAAAAAAAATTAAAAGAAACATCGCGGGTATATGCACGTTAAACCGTTTCCGAAGGCCAAGAACGATTCAGCCGTCGAACACATGTTCCGGGCCGACGGCGGGTCTGGAGCGACGGACGCGAGTCGGCGGGACCGGAGCGGCGGGCGCCGAAGGCGTCTAGAGAACCGCCGTTCCTGCTTACTTTTCTAGATTTTTCTAGCAACGGGCGGGAGCTTACAGCGAGGTATACCTAGGATAGGACAAAGCGACGACGCGACGGAACTCGAGGTCCTGCGCGAAGGTAGTCAAAGTAGGGAAACGAGCGAAAAGTGAAAATAGTGAAAATAGTGAAAATAGTGAAAATAATGAAAATGGGGAAGACGGGCGGGCAGTAAAAATCGCTCAGACCCGGCGCGTTCCGAGAGGAGTCTCGGGAGCATTCCTCCGGCGATAACGGCGCCGGGGAGAATCGGGCCCAGGTCGAGATAAGGGGTATCGTCGTCTCGAGTTCCGTCGGGGCTCGCGGGGTCCCGATAACGGCGGTCGGACTCACCGAAGACGGGGCTGAGGTCGGACCTCGCGGAGGTCTTGCCGGCGGCGGCGTAGCTCCCAGCGGCGAGCGCGCCCTTTTCCTGCAACACACACAATAACCCAAGGAATGTCGTAATCCAGATCGGTCCCGTCGCCGGCGGTGGTCGGGGTCAAGGGTAGAGGAGGGGGGCCGCGCACCTCGGACTCCGTGAGGTCGATGAGCGAGCTCTTCTCCTCGGTGAGGTTCTCGGAGCGTTTCTCGTCCTCGCCCTCGCCCTCATCCTTGAAGACCTTGACCTCGTCCTCGCTGCAGAGATCGTCACCGCCGCCGCTGCTGCTCACGTGCGGCATTATTGCGGCGGGGCTGTGTCCGGGCTCGGGGAAGGGCCGCGGCGCCGGCGGCCGCCGTCGGGCGTCGTCGCGGCGCGGCGCCTCTCGGTCCCGCCCGTCTCACTGCCCGCACTCGCGCGCGCGGCCCGCGGACGCGGCGCGTCCGGTCGCGCGCGCCTGCGGCCGGGAGCCCTCGGCCGCCCTCAGCGGTGGCGGCGGCTCGGCCGCGGGTCGGCGAGGTTAGGTCGGCGGCGGTGGCAGACCGGCGGGGTGCGCGCGGACCGAGCGACGCGAGCACGACTCGGCACGCGCTCGGCGGCCATCCTGCGTGCTCCGGGAGGCGCGAGCGCGCGCGCGCGCGCGCGCTCCCCTCGCCCCTGGCGGGCCGCCGACTGCCGGTCGCGAGCGCTCTCGCTCTCCCTCGCTCTCTCTCTCCCTCTCGCCGATCGCTGCCTCTCGCTGCCTCTCGTTCCCTCTCGCTCCCTCGCGCTCCCTCTCGCGCACTCCGCTGGCCGTCCTCCTCCGGGTCTCTTCGTCGCCCGGCTCGAAGTCGCTCTCTGGCCGACGCGCGCGCGCTCTCTCGCCCGGTCGCTCGGGGGTCCGGCTCGAAGTGGTCCACCTGGCTGCTCGGCGCGGACTGCCGCGGCCGCGGCGCTCGGGCGGGCGGCTCTCCCACGCGCCGACCAATCGCGCCGCCCGATTCGCCGGCGGCCCCCGCGCGGCGCAGGCCCCGCGCCCCCCCGAGCCACCCGAGCCGGCCAGTCATGGCAGCCAGCGGAGCGCGCGAGGCGGCGGCCCGACCACGCCCGACCGCCGGCGGAGATCCCCGAGCGCCGCCGAGCCGCCGCCGGCCGAGCGCAGCCCGAGGGACCGGGCCCCTTATCCTTATCCGCGACTCCTTATCCGATCCCCGGACGCGACAGGCCGGCTGCTCCCGCTCCGACCCCCCTGCCCCCTGCCCCCTTCCCCTCTTCCCCTCTTCCCCTCTTCCCCCTTTCTCTCGCCGACCCCGCGGATCCTCTCGCGGGAAAACGGTCAATTGCCGGTCTCGCCTTAAATAAATGAAACCGCTCCGCCACCCAGCGCGACGCGCTCCGTCCCCGCGGCTGTTTAAGGTACCCCGGTCTCGGCCGACCCTTCGAGTTTATCAATTGATACCGCCGCTTGGATTGAACGTCCGGGGGCCAATTCTCGAATTTAGGGCGAACGCGCCGCGACGGCTCGGCTTTGGACGTCCCGCTCGGAAGGACTCTCCGCTCTCGGTCCTTTTTAGGCGCGGCCGTTACGAGAACTTCACTCGACGCCCTGCACCTTCTCCCTCGTTGGGGACTTCTAATTTATGTATCTCGCGGGAAACCGTGCGTCCCTTGGGATTTCGTCGTCGCGGTCCCGTTCGATTTCGAGATCAAAGATGGCGACGTCAACGCTCGGATCGGACGCGGTTATCCGAGATCGCTCCGACGCCTTTCCTCGACGCTTCCGTTTATGCCAACGCGAATTAACCCACCTACGGAGTAGACTCCTCAAATGTCGGAAAAATCACCTCGAAACGTCGACTTCGCGACCCTCGGTTCCGTTTACCATTTTTATTCCTTCGTCGGCCGACGCGGAATTTTTTACCTCGAAAGAAATTCCACGGTGCAGCGAATGCATGGAGTGTGCACTTTTGTCACGAGATCTAACCTTGGAGCCGCATGGAGCATCTCTCCTTTTCTCTTTCTCTCTCCCTCCCTCCATCGGCAAGAGATGTAAATTAAATCTCGAGGAGACCGGCATTTCCACCGTAAATTTTCCCTCCTGCGTTTTCTCCTAGGCTTAGAAAAAATATTCAGATGAAAAAAGAAACTCGGCGACTCCTATCCTATCTCTTCACTCCCGGAGATAGCCGGCCGTCGGTTCCCATATCGCGCGAGTTATGCATCGTTATGAGGCCTAAAAATACGACTTTATCGACCGCGTTTTATCGATCCAATCGTGGCTGATCGGTCCGATCGCGCGAGAAATCGCCTCCTTCGCGCCTCTTCTCTGATTCGTTCTCCTGTACTTCGATGGTGCACTTTCCTATGTGACAGGTCGGCTATGGTGTAACCCCACGGTCTAAGCCCCCATTTAATTAAGCAATCGCAGAGCCGCCTTCGGATCGCGCAACCGCTTTATCGCCGGATTGGCATTTCGAGCGGATAGACGGCGTGGAGGGTCGTTTTCGGCCGTTTATCGGGAAATCGATGGATTTTGCCGATACCTCGCCGAGAAACGACCGGCCTGGCCGCGGCACGTCAAAATAATTCCCGGGCTGCCTCGAGATCGATCAAATTTCCCCGGATTAACGATACGATCGGGAGAGCTGACGTAAGAGTCATCGTTCCTAAGCGATGATGTAAGCCTTGCAAAACGTGAACGCGGATATTTTTTATGTTTAATATTATTTTTCCCATTTTTCTTTCCTCTATGAAATCCCGAAAATTCTCACAAGAGGGAACTTCTTTTTTTCGCCGCTTGGGGGTCCTCGCGTCGCGGCCACGTGACCGATCAGCTGTTGTAGAAGGGTCGACGGAATCCACTTTCCTCGATCGCGGGGGAACCTTGACCCTTTCCCATGAATTTCCCGAAGTCAATGCGAGAAGCTACTTCTCGGGTTTTATGCCGCTTTCCAAGTAAAACTTTCCCCTGGAACACTTCCGGCCGCCATCGGGACGGAAAAGTTTTACCTTTCGCGAGGAAAATCCCCTGTGGAACTTGTCGTTGAATAATCCCGCGGACGCTTAAGGAAGGCCCGTCGAAGCCCCCGGGTAACGGCGAAACTTCGGGAAGAAGAGTTCCTAGGTGGACGTTAAACGACCCCGCTAAAATCGAAAGTCTGTAATACAAAGATGTAAGGTCATCGTTCATTTATTTTGCGGTCATTTGTATCGAGGATCTTTTTTATACGTGTATCGGTTACCCATTAGCAGCGGGGAAGCGAAGAGTCGAACCCGCCATAATTTGTTCCGACTTTAGAGCGGCTCGAAATAGACCGAATTTTATGCCGCCCAAAATGTACTGGTTTCCGATTCCGGCAATCCCGTTCCTGGTTAGAGATCCGCTTCTCTCCCAGGCGATATAAATCTTGATCGCAAATGTGGAAAGTACCCCCAATTTCGGTTTTTACTCCCTCGTCGACAAAGAGTGACGAGGAAGACGTCATTTTCCCCTTTCCGACTCGATTTCCGGTATCGAGACGCCGGATTTTACGTCCAGCTCCATCGAGAAGGTTCTTCGGGAGAATTACCGAAATTGGCCGATCGTTAAACTCTAACCTTAAATTCTTCTAATTCGAGGGTTCCAATAATTAAAAACTGTGCGAGGTTCTACATTGCCAGGAAGTCTATATAGCGCCTGATAATTACATCTCAATATAAGGTACATTAAATACATACGTGAATTTCATTTTCGATAAATTCGACAAATAGCCAACGGTTCGCTTTCTTCGTCGCGTTTGATTTAACCGAAAATTTTCAAACTCCGGCGACGCTATGCAGATCTCGGGCTCCATCTGGTGAGCAAGTAACGAACTCTGTCCCTAGTCGTGGACGTGCGCGAAACTACTCTTCGCAGGCGCCTTCCGTACCGACGGTTCAAGTCGGAGTAAGTACCCCCTAACGACGTCGTTTTTTATTAAAGCCCCGAGCCGACATCGGAAGCCGTTAAGAAGAGTTAAGGGGAAAGAAAAGTAAAGCGCATTCTTCCCAGGTTGATCGAGAGCGCGTGAATTCATCGGCTGAAAGGAAGGTCTTCTTGGAGGTGCCAAGAGAAGACATGATACAAGATGGCGGATAAAGTCACGGCTGCGGTAACCACGGGTACGTCTAATAAGCAAATATAATCACCTAAGAGTACCGTTGGGCGTTAAGGAAATGCCAACAACCGCGCGGATGAAAGGGCCTCCGGACATCCGCGTATCCCGATTCAGGGTGATTCACGAACACGATATTGAATGAGTCATCTAGGTGCGGACGATGATTCCAGCCCCGGAGGAGGATCCTTCATTTCGGTGGCGAACAAATCCCAGTCCTCGGCCGACCATCGTCATTACCAGCGTCTTCAGGGCGGCCCTCCGCGAGTCGCGAAACTGGTCGTTGCCGCGGAACAAAACGGAGGAGCTTAACGCGAATCCAACAATCAGGCAGATGAATGCAAGGAGCACCTGAAAGGAAATAAAAAGCCCCGGATGCACGTCATTAACGTAAGGGTGGACGGCAGGGGAGGAGAGAGGAAAGGACCTCGCCGAGGAGTACGAGGCGACTGGAGGACCCTGTGGAGGACGCATGGATCCGCAATGAGACATTTAGAACGTCTTCCCGTCTAATGATGTTCGGGGACGAGGCGGTCCGATTTAGTTTCTCTTTTGGACTGCAAGAGACGGATCGCGGATTCTTCCGCGGAAAGGGATTTCTTTTCTCGGGCCCTTTCGCTACAATAAATATCCATTGTCGTGGGGGCCGCGCCGTGTGCCAAAAGCCGCTTTCTCTCCCGCTTTTTATCTCTCCTTCTCCCTCGGACGAGATGCTCGATCTGCTGTTCGCCGACTCCTTCGAGGAAAGGGCCATCTCTCTCCTCCCCTATTATCTTACTCGTATACCATTCACCGGATGAATTATTACCTTCGAAAAAATGCTAAGTCTTCCGGAACGATCGATGGCCCAGTAGGAGCGATACCACGGGCAGAAGTCGAGCTTCTGTTATCACATGACTCGCATTTGCATACCGATTCTACGTATCACGACCCACTAATCGCGTAGTCACCCGTCGTAGGTTTGTACGTTCAAGACTTCGAACCCGTTATTTTGGCTGCCTTCCATCTTATCATATCGCCTACCCGGAATGGCGATGCGAATAAACGCCGAGCAACCCGGGCTCGTTACAGTTAGGCAAACAATAATTCCATTGTCTCCGTTACAGATTTACTAATAAGTATTCCGTTTCCACGGAGTAAAAGGGAGTAGGCTTGGAAGACGTATCGAAAGGAATGGACGCGAACCGTCGCCAAGGACTTGGCCACATGCAGAAAGTCCAGCCTCTTCCTGCAACGTTTGTCCGCTCTTCTCTTTCATCCGTACGCTGCAGTATGTTGGAAAATATTTATCCTAATTAGCTCGTTAGTTTATTGACCGTGTAATTTTCTGAAAAAAATTTCAGGGCCTTTGTTCACCGTGGGAGAACCGCGGAAGTGTATAAACGTGTACGTTGATTCTGCGGGGCTGCTCCGGCGTTACATGGATATAACACGGATTGTACACGAATACATGCCTCGGTAATACCGGCTCGACCGACACCGACTCTCGCCATTGTATATACCGACACGAACTTGCGTACAATACGGTCTGTATACCCTAGAGATTATATCACCGAGGTTCTTGGTAGTCGACAAACTCGACACACGTTCACACGGTCGATCAGCCGGGGAGTATTGCGTTACTCTACACGGGCCACGACCAGTGCTCGCTTGACCACGCTGCAGGGAACTGGGGTCTTCTCTCTTTGGTCGGTGGTAAAGAGTGCCTAAGTAGGTACACAGATCGTTAATACGACCAAGCATCTAGTGCAGGAACCGGTACTACTCGCCATGCCAAATTGTCCAAAGTGCAACAAGCCGGTGTACTTTGGTGAGTGAATTCCGAGATTAACGTCAAAAGGAAATTAAATTTATCCTCGAAGATAGATAGATAACGCGACACCGGATAATATAAATTGCACGGCCGGATGCTGAGTATCGTCCATGTTCTGAATTTTGAATTTAATTCTTCCCAGAGTCGGACCTTGCCTACGGAGTTAGACGTTGGAACGATTACCAAGGGTCTACTCAAAACGGGAGATTATTTTGAAAAAGGGAACGTTCGTCTCGATTTTACTAAGTGAACGGTAGTGCGGCGGAAAGTTCCAGCTGACTCGTGTTTACATTTTTCGGGGGAACCGGGAATTATCGCGGGTTTAATTCTTGACTGGGTCATTTGACATTTGCGGCGCCTACGGATAAGTCTCTCCTAATCTCTAGAGCACCGTAGAATATTCCTCATACTTCTGAAGTAGCCTATTCGATAGCCAATCAGGGGAGAAAATTGAAAAGAATCATGATTGCGTTGATAATTTCAGATAATTCCCGATAACGTGGTGGGGAAAAATTAATATCCAGAGATAGTACTAATCGGGCTACGTGGGGAGATTATACTTAGTAATGTTTCATATTTCCGGTAGGCGATTTCGAGCGAGGTTTCCACGAGTTATCAGGGAAATTAATTTCCATGCCGATGTTCAGCACGGAAGGCCGTTCGAATAACATTTACCATAGTCGACGGTCTGGCCGTGCAATTGCGGGAATTAAAGTTATCCATCAGGGCCTCTTTCCCCGGAGCTCGTTGTTACGTCCTTTGCAGCCACTTTCTTATTATGAATTTAATGGTTCCGATTATGACACAGTCGCATGGCGCCCCTTTAACGCCGCTTAGCATTTCCCCGTCGTCGGGAGTGCGTGAAAGTGGGCACGGAATCGCCCGGTAATTACCCGAAGTAATTGTTCCACGAGATTGCACATACTCGAGGTAAACTGTACCGCACGATGCGTGCAGTAGACTTATCCACGGCCGGGAGAATGAGGACTTTTGTGCGCCCACAAGGGATGCTTTTCCGCCCGCGGAAGCATTTCCGTCAGCCATTGCCGAGGAGATTAATTTTCCCCGCAAGCGAGCACGTTTCCTTCTTTCCGTTCTCTCGATGCATCGCTCGATGGCGATCGATTCGAAAGCAGAAATCCACGTTCGGTGTAGTTGAGCAACCAGCTATGATCTCATACCGCCCGACCTCGAAACTCGCCTTGGCAAATATTATGTCACTCTTGTATCCTCGTACGGTTTGCGTTGGCACACGTCACTGTCACCAGAATGTACACGGTTGACAGGGTCGGTAGTCTCTTTCGGCCACGGCAGGGGAAGTTGCGAAATACCGAGCAAGTCGATAAAAAAAAAAAAACCGAAGAAAGATTCCAAACCAACGCGGATAAGTAACGTCTATTAGAGTAACATCGCCGCTATCGGTACCAAAAAGCGCGGCAGATAAGGACTCCCGATGACAGGTTTTCCTTGTACCTCGTATTGACGAGTGACGCGGTTACTCTTTGCGGTAGACCGCGTATCTCTCGGACGAATCGAAGGTATTACCGGTACATGCGCTTCGCCGCCTCCCTGGAGGAAGTACTCGTAGTGAAACTGTACTCTAACGAGAAAGTAGCCCGTGGGATAGCGTTATCAACGGTGAAACTCCTCGCAGAATTTGGGACGCGGATAGTCGCGAGGAAGAAATCCCGCGGTCAGTTTATAAGAAATCGTTTCCGCCTAGTCGACAAATTTTCTACACCGTAAATATCGAATCTCGTCGCGAGAGGGTCTATTCGGAGATGGCGCGCAAATTGGACCTCACTTTTATGCTCATCCCGGGGAGATTACCGCGAGGGCAATTGTGAAATCGGCGCGCGGCGCACTCCGAGTGGGTGAAGAAATTACCTATGGGATAATTAGCGGGAGGGAGACAGAGAGGGTGACGGTGTATTTTGTATATTTCCTTCTTTTATTTTCTTCTTCCGCGAGGCTTTAACCCGAAGCCCTGAATAGGTGGGCTTTATTCGGCTCGGTAATTTGCGAATGGCGGCACAGGGCGGTACCAGCTCTTCGTTTCTCGAGCGCGCGGGGCGCTTTCCAAAAGAGGCTCTTTTCACGCTCTCGGCCGGGCAAAGGGGAGGGGCGCGAGCGGTACCCGAAACTTCGCATTCGGTGGAAAATATTTCCCCCGGGGATTCGAGGAATCGTAAAGGAAAAGAGTAAACGACGAGATGGCGCCCTCGCGGGCCGTACAATGGGAAAAGTGAGATAAATCTGCGCATAAAGAGGCCCGCTGCCGCATGGCCGAATCTACCCGCACCGCCCTGAAAAGATTTAAGGGTTGAATGCCGCCTGGGAAACTGAGCGACTTACAAGTCGGAGAGAGGGAAGCACCGATGCAACGTTATCGCTCGCCAAGAGGTCCTTCCCGTATAGACGCGAGAACGACGCGAGAGTTGATATTCGGATAGGGAGGGAGGGAATTTTCCGACAGGGGGCTAAGTCGGTCCGAAACGCCAAAGTCCTCGAGATGTGCATCCCGGTCCCCGAAAGGGCGCATCTCCGCTCTGCGTCAGAGCGGAAGAACCCGGGAGGGGATCCCTCGGGTGAGGCCCTCCCCGGAGGAAACGGCGCGTTGCGTAGCTCGGAACAACAATAAAGTATCCGCTCGCGAGGATAACAACAAAGGCGGCCAGCTCCCGGTAGGTAATAATAAGAAGAACGGAGATGAAACAGGTTTGCGGAAGAATGGCAGCGGCGGGACGCAGGTTGACGCGGGAGGAGGAGGGTGGTGCACTCGGGAGCGAGGGAGAGGTGGAGGGGGGGCCCAGGTATATAAAGCCGCGCGGAGCCGCCGCCGATTGTTTCGCGCCGGGAGCAGCGACCCGTGCGCTTCGGAGCGCTGTCGGTTTGGCGGGCGCGAGCGACGATGCTCGCGATTATGCCCCCGCTCCCGGTGCCCAGATAATTAGGAGTTAATTAACTAATGGCCCTTTATGCACACCCTCGCCCTCCCACTCGTCACCTTTCACCTCTGTGCGCACAGTAGGCCGCGTCTCCGGCGCGCCCCGTTTTGTGCGCTCCTCCGCCGACTCCCTTTCGGTCCCCTTCCGCTTCCTCTTCTTAGCTGCACGCTTCCGCTTTCGATGCGCTCCGGGAACCACGCGAACTCGGCCCATTGTCAGCGGTTCACCCCCTTCCTCTGTCCGGCCGTTTTTTAAACGAGACGCGCGGAAGCGTCTTCCAAGATGGCGGCCGGGCAGCGACTCAATTAGGCCGCCGGTCCGACTCCGAGGCGGGACCGACGATGTATATTCGAGCTTTCTTTTTCTTTTTCCTCTATTTTTTTTTTTATTATTAAACCGTTGCTCTCGATGTCGGACTCGACGGCGCGTGCTCGCCCATTGTGCGTCGGCTCTGTCCCTCCGTGAAAGGGCACCCCTTCGCCCGGCATTCTTCCGATATGACTCGCGGGTGCGCCGACGACCGACTTAATTAGCCGACCTCGCGTTTCATCGGTCAAATGCGAGCGAGGAGAGCTTCGCAAAGAGGCCAAGGGAATTTCGGCTCGAGGAAAGCCCGCCCCCACTTTCCCTGCCCCGGCCATTAACGCTGGAGACCCTTCTCTCCCTTCTCGTCCGATTAGTAGAGTTTAAAAAAAATCCCTAAACTTTTTCATAAGAAAAAAAAAAAAAGAAAATTCACTTTCCACGACTCCCGCGGGTCGATGCCGATCAACCGGGGGGCTTCACCCCACGGACACAGCAAACGATTCCTCCGCGAGCAAAAGGGCTTTGGTCCCGACGTAAGGGAAGGTCGCGAATGGGAATTCTTAATAAAACGGCGATGCTATACCGCGATGCCAGGAGGACCGGAAAATGGCCGGAGATGGATGTTGTCGGAAATAAATTTTATTTATCCGGGATGGTCAAATGTTATTAATTTCCGCGTGTATAGTTTTCTGTAAGCAGGTCGGTGTATATCTCTGAAATATCCATATTTCAAAGTGGGGTGCACTTCGATTCGGGATAATCGAGACAACCCTTTCCCGTCCCCGAAGGCGTTGGATTTGTCTCGCGGAGCGCGGATCGCTCGAGGATTTTAAATTCGATGAGATGTCCCCGCCAAACGGGGGACGGAGTCGTTTTCCCCGGTTTTCTGCCTTCCCTGTCCCTCTTTCCAGGACGCATCCGCGGTCCCAGGACGCCTCGTTCCCGCGATCTCTGGAAATTAACCGCAGGAATTACCGGGGAACTTTCTAAAGGGCGCTGCGCGGCTCCGCCGACTTGACGCCTTCGATGAATGCGCCAATCCTTGGGGGATCGTCATTCAGATTTATAATTATGAAATTGCTAATGGAAACCCCTCGTTAGCCCCGCGTTGTGACGGTACCCACTCGGGGGGGCCCGCCGAGGAACTTTCGGTCTGCTCCTCCGCTGCACCGGTGCACTCCGGTGCAGCAGCCTCGATTATCCTCGCCTGTCCTTTGTCACGACGTCTGGGGGCAGGATCGAAGTCGAGGAAACCGCGGAATCGAATTCGACATATTTCCGATCGCTGGTGAAACCCGAAATTTGGCGGTGTGATGTGAAAATGGCGTCAAAGAGTTCTCGTTCGTGAAACTTTTCTCCAAACCGAGTACGCAGAATAGATTGCAACTTTACAACATAAATATGGAGGATATGAGAAAGGTCCTGAAACTCACGAAATTTCAATTTTTTTTAAATTTCTTTACAGAGATTTTCAACATTTTTCATGCAAAATGACATTTCGCGAGTTTCAGCATCTTTAGTACTCGGTGCCGTTCTTGCACGCTCTTTAATGTATTTGGCGCGAAACTCTACCGAGTTTCCTGACGGACGCGAACCCTTCCTCGATCCGTAAGAGGGCTTCGTTATTAAGCACGCGTCCGTGGAGGGCTTAAAAGATTGAATCGAGGCCGCTCTTTGTAATCCAGATCGATCAGGGGGTGCATGGTGCATCCCCCTAAAGTCGAGCGGGGATTTAAATGAAATACCTGGGCATTTCGGAATACCTTACGATTTTTTAACCCTTTTCAGCCGAGAGGAAAACGTCGCTGGGGAAGGACTGGCACGGCGCTTGTCTACGGTGCGAAAAGTGCAACAAGACCTTGACGCCCGGCAGCCATGCGGAACACGACGGCAAACCGTACTGCAACCACCCCTGTTATGCAGCTCTTTTTGGCCCAGGAGGTAATTTGCTTAGTCTCCGATTGTTCCCCCGATCCTGGAGGATGATCCGATTAAAGGCAGCGGGAGGTAGATAAAAGATCAGCGTTAAAAAACAGCGCATAAAAAGCAGCGTTGCCTGCAAGGACTTCCCTGAAAACGAGCCTCCGTTGATCGAATCGTCTACTCAGATTGGACGTTTCATATAGTTTCATTATTATATATATATTTTTTTTTCGACTCGGGTTTTATTTAACGTAACGGTGTTGCCGTCGATGTTCAAGGTGCAGGGATGCACGACAATTGATGATGCATTTCTTTTTTTAGGATTCGGACGCGGCGGGGCGGAGAGCTACGTGTACAAGAAGTGAGGAGGGACAAGGACGCCGTCGAGTATTCATGACAAGAGTGACGCAAACCGTTCCTGCGGCTGCCTGAATTATTCCAATAACGATGCCCCTGGGGCTTAAATTATTTAAGAGTATCGTTTAAGTTAGACTTTTCTACCGTGCCTTTGTCGAGGACTAGGCTCCGGGGTACTCGGACGCTCATTGATTTTGATATCACGGAGTATTGTTTCAAGCGCGACACTCGCTATCCTGCTATGGATCGCGAATAAATGGGTTTGTTTGTAAGAATCGTTGATAGGGATGGCGATGCGCTTTTTGTTCGTCACTTCCGACAGGGTGGAGGACACTCGCTTTTCGCGCCGGAGAAGAAGTGCAGGCTGAGGACGTTGACGGCATTCAGAGTGTACACGTTAGGCTTGCCGAAGTTGCAGTTGTTCACGAAGATCCTGGCCATCCTTTCGACGCTGTCGCACTTGATCACACAGGCTGCGCCGTCTAAGCAGGGTCGACCTGCCTCGTTCCTCGAGCAAGGGTCGAACAAGTAGAACATCCCGTAATGCTGCATGACGGCCGTCGCGACGTTGTTGGTGTGCAGGATCCCGGAGCAGTTGTTTCTGAAGAACAGGACGAGAGCCTCGGCCAGGTCGAAGGGATGCAGAATCCCTGCGGCGGTGTGTCTGTGGACGTGGATGCTGGCCTTGCAGTCGCCGACGACGAAGACGGTGAGCAGTTCTCCAGGGGAGAGGTTTCTGGCCCCGGGTCGAGCAATCCTGGCGGAGTCGACGTGCAAGACGTCCCCGTACTTCAAGATCGCGTCTATCAGCTCCGGGGTCCAAGTGGAGGGGACGTGCAAAAGTCCGACCACGATGGCCACGGCGGCCATTGAAGTGGCCTGAAGCCCTCTGCTAGAAACGCGAAAGCTCGGGTGTTGAAGATGAAGAGTGCCCCGAAGAACGCTGGTCCCCGCATCGACGCGATTGAACTCGGTCAAGGTCTCGACGTTCAACGTGGTGGTTCTCTTCAGGGACGAGACGGGGATGGAAGGCACGGTGCACTCCTGAATCGGCCTGAACCCGGCGGGGCAAGGGAGGGGGTCGATGACAATGGTCCTGATGATGACCCTGCAGATCTCGTATGAGCCATATTTTTCGGCTTGGTCGATGTTCCGGAAGACCAGGTCGTAAAATGGCTCCATGCAGGCGAACCACGCGAGGCAAGATGCTCCGTTCTGGTCTTCCGTGCCTTCCTTCCCCCTCGCTCTAGGATCGTACATGAAGTACACCCCGAAGTCCTTCCAAATGGCTGCCATGTAGCGCCCAGTGACCAGGACCCCTGCTTTGTTATCCTGGAAGAACTTTGAGAGGCCCTCTTCGAGAAGTATCGGCGGAGGAGGGGGCGGCTTCTCCCGCTTGGTTTTCCCTTTTTTCCCCTTCTTCGGGGGCTTCTTCTTCTTCTCCTTCTTACCTTTCTTCCCTTTCACCTCAGGCTCCGGGGGAGGAATCGCAACTTGGCCGGTGACGGCACCAGGCTCTACGTCGGCTGTCAGCACGTTCACCCCCAGATGGAAGACCCTGACCACATCCTGGGGACGAGGTCTCTGAACCGAGGGGAGAGTCTTCAAGGTCTTCATGGTCTCCCTGTGGACGTTGTTCCCGATCACCAGGATCTCGTCCAGCGTGCTTCTGGTCCACGTCACGGGGCTCTTCACGACGGCCATGGCTAAAGCTACGACACAGTTGGAGGCGGTCTGCTGATTCCTCACGTCTTCAGGGAATACCTCGGAGGCCTGATGAGTTGCTCCTCGGAGGATCGCTCTGGCGGCGCCCTGAAGTCTCCTGAAGGCGTTCAAGGGTGGCAGGTTCGCGGGTCGTACGGCAGGGCTGGGGTCAAACTTCCAGGGTGGTAACTTGTTCCAATCGACTACGTCCACTGCCGTGATCTCGTAATCTCCTTCGTCACCTAATATCTTCCCCAGGAACCCCATCATCTTCTCGGTGTCGACGAAACGCCCCACCCTGGGGAGCGTCACCTGGTCATCGGCACCAGGTATCCCTGGTACCAGGCAGTAGTAGACGTCCTTATACCTCCAAATGGCAATGTTGATCTTGCCATCTATCGTCAAGACCCCTGAAGAGGAGTTCTTGAAGAAATTGTCGAGCCCCGTTTTCAGGTCCTGCGATTTCGGAGGATGGCCCTTGATGTCTCCGGCCTCCACGCAGTCCTTCAGGGTCAGGCTTATTCTTCGGCTCGATATGAAGAACTCCCTGAGAACGTCGTTAACTTTGGGAATGGAACCTAGTCTCTCGACGCACTTCGAGTGCAACTTATCCCCGGTTATCACGACCTCGTCGAGGACGTCACCTCGCAATTGGCGAGGGTGATAAGCTTTCGAGAAGACGACCCCCATCATCGCCATAGCTGCGCTTTGCTTATTCCTGTTCTCCAGGGCGAACCTTTCGTCGGCCATCGAGACCTTCCCCTCGAACCCCCAGATTCCATCCTCCATTTTTGGAAAATGGTGCCAGAGTTCTTCGGTCGAGGTGGTTCTTCCTAGCTCTTCTCCTCGGCTTTCAAGGGCCGTCTCCATTGTTACCGAGTCGATGACGAAGTCATCGTCGGAACGTGCGGATTTCTGAAGACTTCCGGCCAGGGCGGAGAGAGAAGTGAACCAGAGCACCGATGCCGCTCCGTCCTTCTCCTTGGGATTGCCCTGCGCGTCCCTGCCTGGAGACCACGAAGACGTGGTTAGAAATCGTCCTGAACTCTTCAAGAATTAATAGACTGGTATACCTCTGGGATCCATCATGAAGAAGACGTCGCCCTCCTTCCAGACGGGCATCATGACCTTCCCCTGCCGGAAAATGCCCATCTTGTTCCCCTCGAAAAACTCTTCGAGGTGTTTCTGCAGATCCGAAAGCTTCCCCTCGGCTGCCTCCTCTTCCAGGTCAAGAGTCATCTTGTTGACCCCGATGTTGAACTCTTTCGCCACTTCGCTAGGTAGTAAATAGTCCCTGGGTACTTCGTCGTCTTCGTCAGGTTCGGGCACCGCGTCGATGTTGTCGATGGTCATCTTGTCCCCTAACTTGACGATGTCGTCGACGACTTCTCGGTTCCAGTAGTGCGGATTGTAGAGTCTGGTCATGGCCAAAGCTATTATAGAGTTCGCGGCTTGTTGCTTGTCCCTTGTTCGATGTTTAAACAATGCCTCGTTGGCCTGGTCGATGCTGCCGTTGAGGCAGGCGCCGTCGTCGCCGACCACACCGAAGTTGTTTAAGTCGGGTTTCTCGGGGACCTCTTTATCCTTTTCGATTTCCTCCTCGGTCATCGGCTGCCCGACCGACAGGATCTTCACCTCGTGGATGGAGAACTCTTTGCTCTCCTCGGTGGCAGGGAGGTTCTTCTCGACGACCTCGGCGAGGCTCTCGGGGTCCAGGACCCGCACGACGCAGCCTGCAAGGTCCTCCTCCGCTGCGCCGGCTTTTTGGCTCATGTCGATCCGTGGGTTTGGATGCAACAGGTAATACGCGGTCTCCTTCGTCTTATCCTTCAGCTCCTCCTCGAATTTCCAAACGGCCACCGACGAGTCGCCGACCTGGAGAACGCCGAATTGGCGATCCTGAAGAAACTGGGCGATGCCTCGAGGTAGGTCCAGGGTCTGTCCTCCGGAGCCGGCCTTGAGGTCTCCAACGACGGAGGACTCTTCCAGGCCGATCTTTACCTTCCTGCCCTTCACGTACAAGGTTCTCTTCAAGGTTCCAGGGAGAAGCTTCCGATCGCCCTCCTCTTCGGGAGGGATGCACCAGTTGAAGTATGCGTCGCCTTCCTTGATAGCGTCGTCGACCGTCTCCTTCGTCCACTTGGAAGGTGGAGTCTCTTTGGCGAACACTAATCCGGTTACGGGAATGGCCAGACCCTGAAGACCTCTGCTCTCGTCCTCGAAATCCGCGTCTTCGCTGGTGATCCCACCTCGAAGAACCCACCTCCCAGCCTGACTGGGCCCGAAATCGTTCCAAGGTCTACTACCGGCCACGTCCTCGAGGACCTTGACCCTCCTCACGGTGAACCGGTCGTTCCTCTTCGCGGGGTCGAGGTTGACCCTGAAGAGCGACACCAGCTCCTCGACATTTGGGAACCGCATCACGCAACACTTCCCCTTGATCTTCTTCTCGGTCCCTGCGCCTTGTTTGGCGTCCTTCTTCCCACCTTTCCCACCCTTTCCCTTCTCTTCAAGGATCCTTATCCCGGTTGGTCCACATTGTCTGGGATCGAACATGTAGAAGACGTCGTCCTGGGTCCACACCGCCGTGGCCATCGCCGAGCACTCGATCACCCCGTCGGTGTTCCCCAGGAAGAACTCTTCGAGGGCTCTCTTCAGGTTCAGGACATTGGGCACCTTCGAGCTGATCGTCCCGGAGACGGTGATCAGGTCCACTTCCAGGATCAACTTCGTTCCCTCTATCTGGAACCTCGCCTCGTTAAGGTCCGTCGCAGTGATGGACTTGAGTCCTGGTTTTTCAGACTTGACCTCTGCGTACAAGGCGTCTCCTAGGGTCAGGATCTCGTCCAATTTCGGTCTCAGCCAGGTCCGCACTGGGTGGACCTTCTTCATGGCTACCGACATGGCGCAGTTCACCACGTTCTGGGCACCCTTCCCTTTATACGCGTCGCTGCCTTCGTGAGTCCACCCGTGAAGAATGGCCACGTCTCCTGGCAGCTCTCGAAACGTATCCGGGATGTTGACGAGCATGTCGTCGTAAGGGTAACCCGTGTCGAAGGAGTCCTGATCGACGAGAGGCCTCACCGCGAATTTCGCGTCGATGCTGAAATTCGAGATCGAGATGTCGAGGGGCTCCTCCAGGACCTTCGTCCCCGCGAAACCTGACGATTCCTTCGGGGTTCCCTTTTCCATTTTAGGAGCTGGATGAGTACAATCCAGCTTCCTCTCTTCCAGGTCCACCGGGTTGATGGCTCTCAGCACCTTTTTATCGACAACCAGTTCCGAGCCTTGACCCTTCTGCGGATATTCCGACGTAAATCTCTTCATCAACTGACTCATGGGCACCACCCTCAGGACGCTGACCTTGTCGATGCAGTACCTCGAGTCGAACTTCCTGTCCATGTTCCTCAGGAACGATTCCACCAGGTCGTCCAGGGATTCGAAGCGAATGAGACATGCCGTTCCTTCGCGACATCGAGACCCCTCCTCGTCGCACCCTGAGGAGTCGTAATATAGGAAGCCTTCGTCCTTGTGCCTCCAAATGGCTATCGACGTCCCCTGGGCCGTTACCACCCCTGCGTCCGAGGTTCGGAAAAATCTCTGCAGGCCCTCCGAGAGTCCTGGACATCCCGTGGTCTCGCTGAAGAGGTTCCCGTAGACCTTGCTGGCTTCCACGCAGATCGAGCACTTGTAGTCGCCCACGAAGAACTCCGGGTGCACCAGGTTCGTCGTTAGGTACGTGCCTGGAGGAACTCGATTCCGGTACTGGCTCACCCTGAAGAGGTTGTCGCCGACTCGTAGGGTCTGGTCGACGTAGTTGCTCGTCCAGTCTTTTGGCTCGAAGAGGCGACCGAACACTATGGCCACCACCGAGCAAGACGTTCCCTGGTGACCTCGACTTCTGGGCTTGAATCGTGGGTCGGTCATTGCGTATGACCCTTGTAGGATCGATGACCTCGGGGTCAGCACTCGGAAGTGGTGCCAGAGCTTTCCGAGGTTTCTGCGCAAAGCTGGGTGGGATTTTTTCTTCGGGTCCTGCATCGCGTCCATTTGCATCTTCCTCTTCGTTTTCTCCCTGGAAGGACGATTGATGGACTCGTTAAAAAAAAAAAAAAAAAAACTGATTACCGCAGATACCTCGTCTCTATTTTCTAAATATCTTGCTTATTTATTTATCAGTACTTACTCTGTCATCTTGTGCGATCAACGTTAATTTCGGAGCGAGATCGAGTTTACTTTCGTTACAAATAATGTTCGCTGTTGATTGTACATTTTTAATGGGATAATTATCTGCCGCACCGAGTTACTGTTTTCAGGTTTCTTGGGTGTTGCTCTAATTGGACTTGTCAATTTCCATGATCCATGGGTCGAAATAATTTATTGGTTAACGCGAGCCATTGCAGGGTACGTGCAACTAGAAGAGAACAAATGAAAGCGGGTCGACTTCTTAGTTCAATCGTTTATCCTTTTTTTTTTCCTTTTATTCCTATAAAATGGATAAAGTCTCGGCTCTCGGATCCGAACCTCGGTTATTGCTGGCGAAGACGTCACATCGAGATTACAGAGACACTTGTTTCATCGTAAACCATAATATATTTATTACGGGTTAACACATTTCCATAATGCTCGGTATAAACACGACATGTAACATTAAGATATAATTAGGACAGTTATTTCGGTTCAACGAGCCGTTTCGTAACAATTGGATAAACTAGTATCGACACTCTGCAGATCATCCTACATGCTACATGTCCACGTGTACCTCGCTTTACACCTCGAAGAAAAAAAAAGAAAAAAAGAAAAAAGGGAAACATACAAATTTGATTATCGTCGCACCCGGTCTTAATCTCGCGTACGACTTCAAAAGGCTCTTTACCGCATTGAATCTCGGTACCGAGATCGCTGACTGCTAATATTCAAACTCATGCTCAATCTTTGGGAGGAGCGTTCTCTCGCATTAACGCCGACACTGAGTAAAACTATCCGAACTATTTGCACTACCGCTTCGCAACTATACACGGGAAACACCGATACAACGTTATCGAAAAAATATGCGCGCGAATTACGATTCCCCCCCGACACTTCCTAATGAACCCCGGTCAATCAGTAAAACGGAGAGACATGAGCAAAGACCACGTGTCAATGTACGCCTAGAGTTTTATTACATCAACGTATGACAAAACGTAATAAATATCGCAATGTTCTATAAATACAGAAGTGTATAAAGTAAACCCCCGATTACAGCTTCATCTCGTGCCTTTATTGTAACGGTGTAATGATAATATTAATAATAGTAATCATAAGAATAATGGCATAGAGTATATATATATAAATAACTATATAAAATTATATATACAGATACGGTAACGGGAACGGGAATTAAACTTGCATCCGCGCGTGTGTGTATGTATGTATATGTCCGCGCAACGGCACGTACGTTTCCAAATTGTATAGTATTAATCAACGGAGCAGCATAAATCGGTTTCAGCGAGAAACGTTGGAAATACAAAGGACAATGATAAGGCTGCGAGATTCGGCAACGCCAGCGGACGATCCGCGTCGCGCATCAAAAGCCCACCTAGATATCTATCGGTATCATATGTACAAACGAGTCCCTTATTCTCGCTATCTTAATCAGATCATGATTCCTTAACGTTTTACCAAAAAATATCTACACGTAAAAATATAGGAGAGTACGCGGAGGTGGCCGCGCCCGGGCGCCCTCCGGCGCTCCGTACTCAAGCGTATTATAAATCTTTATAATCCTCTTATAAACATCAACGAGTAGCCCCTCCGTAAATGGAAGGAACCGTAATATAATATCCTAGCCCTTAGAGATTACGTACAATTCGCACTCTCGCCCGTGGTTATCCCGTATATTCCGATTTCCTAGCGGCGCGCCTACACGCGTTCGATTCTTCATGACCGTTTGCGGTCCCAATACGCGCATAATTGCATCGTGTACATTAATCCGGTGCATTCGACGACTTCGACTTGAAGCAGCCCCGCAAGCAGTCTAGCATTGTGCGCGTCGAGGGCACTTCGTCGAATAAGAACACAGTTCTATTTGAGGTTTTCGAGGGGAACCCGAAGCGCGCTCGGGATGCGCCATTTTGAGCATTGGAAAGAATGCACCGCGCCATTACGCGAGTACTGGGCTGGGAGAACGGAGTCGGCCGAATTAATTTGACTGGTTGTAATGTTGATTCGCATCGGCCGGTCGCGGTGAAACGTTTTAATCGACATTTTCATATCTATACGCGTGAAAATGTTCGAGGAACAGGCGTTTCTTCGGGTGGTGTGCTCGTCGCCTGAGAGCACCGCACGAGATGGTCGTCTGGTATCGTTTGCAACGAAATATATGTACAAACCCGCGAGAGAGCCCGTGTTTGCACCAGGCGCGAAGTAGATTGGAAAAAGTGTTCATCGTTATGTAACGGGAATGTCGGTGCTCTTACATGATACGGAAAAGCACTTTTTCGCCTAAAAGGCTACACAGTTTGACGTCCCCTCCGACTAGGGCTACCTCGCGACGTGGGAGCCGCTCTATGGTGACGACATAAACCATGATTATTTGTCGCGCCTTGACAGAAATTCTTACTAAACGCATATATATTTAAGATAAAGGAATATCAAGATGCCCGGAGAACGCACTTATATTAATTTCCTCGAGGCCCAGTTTCCCCTGCCTGTCGCGAAACTCATCCAAAGTCAACCACCCAGGCGAAAGAAAATGGCGCGCGGAGAAGCGGAAAGAGTCAGTCGAGCTACTTTTCACCGATCATCCGTAAAACCGTATGGTTAAATCCTCAAAGAAGTCGTCCGAATGTCGGATTCGTCGGGTGGACGTTAAACGCGTTCGTTACCGTATTTTCTATTGTCTTTCTTTTCCCCCCCAGGAAGGCGAGACATTGAAGAAGAAACCGATTATAGAGTCTGACCAAAGACAAGAATCGCAACTAGGGGCTAATGCAGTTTTTCGGCATCCCTCATAGACTTCCTGAAGATTTTTTCCTCTTCCTCATAAGCTGCTTCAAGGACAGCTAGAAGTTTTCTCTCAAGTCTCCGAGTACAATGTCTGCGACTTCAGCCATCGAGGAATCTCTTTTCTCGAGGGGCGCTTCAGTCTCGTTTCTGAGTTCCTACGAGCTCTTCCTTTCGCAAACGGAGTCGATTTTGTTCGGGACCGAACGTGTCCATCGAGCAAAGAGATCCGAACGGTTTAAATAGCGCGTTAATTAGAGTCTTTAAACCGCTCGCATCGCACCAGGTCGCGCCATTTCTGTTTCCACCGTATTTGGTCCCACTTATATTCTGCTTAACTAACTCTCTACTGGCTGTTTAAGCTTTCCCGTAGACAGACCGCGTTAATCCAATAGTCTTGCAGAAAAAGTCGGCTCTCGCATAGTCCGCAAGGCAGAAGGCTAGATTCATTTGAGAGAGCCAACCAGCGTTCAAAATGCCGGCCGGCCTCGCTTTCACCAGAACACAGGATGTGTCTAAGTGCTGGACGAAGTAACGACCAGGGTACGTAAAAAATCGATCAAAAAAGTCAAATCTCTCGACCCTCCGATTCCACTCTACGTGGGTATAAATCAGTTTTCGATTTAACGTTCAATGTGTGTACACGTTAATCTCCGATCGCTACGCCCGATTCCGATATCAAAACAATGTACGATGCTTCAAATGCGTAAACGAATTGTGTGCACAAACGCTTATAAGTAATTTTTGTACTCTTAGGTAAACACTAAAAAAAAAAAAGAAGAAGAAGAGAAATAGTAGGGAAACGAAGGTAGCGTTACTTTCCCCGTCCCGTGACGTTGACAATTTCAGGGAAGCAGGAAGTTACCCCGCCGACTCGTGCCAAGACTGGCAGGATAAAATCACTGTCTTCGATTGGCCAATCGATCTAATTGAACCCGACATACCCTGGGAGCAACCGAGTACAAGATCACGTTACCATTAAATCGGGAGCTAACAGGAGAACTAACTCCAGGCTATGACAAAGTGAGATACATTGTAGCCTCGGATCTACGCGATCTTACTCGTATGACTTCCGTACGGGAGAATACAGGAAGAAAGGATAATCGCAACAGTCGCCGCGTTTCCACCTCTTACGCGATCGCAATTGCCGTAGCGGTAATTAGCTCCGGTTCGCCGATCATGCGTTTCGACCGATCGGAGATCAGTTACCGGTACAATCACTGAATCTTGGCATTACCGTTCTAACGTTTATCCAATGTCCATGTAACGACTGTGACGATTATTCCTCCTCACCTAGTGTGCATCCTTCGCTCATCGTACGAAAAAAAAAAAAAAAAAAACTATTATGCATCGTTGTTCTAATAGTTCCACACCCGTTAGGGCGTCTAGATTTGCGTGCCGAAGTCAGCGGAAAAAGTTAACAGCAAACCCATGAACGGGGAGAAGGTTAGCCTCTTGTCATCGGTGCTTCAGGCGCGATGGAGAAAAGTAAGGTCTGTACATTTCCTCGAGACTCGGTACACTCGAGTCATACGCCTCCGCGCCAAGTTTCACACGCCTCTTGGGCTAGCCTCTCGACCAAGAAAGGGACACTTTATGTGATAATCGTAGATGTATGTACAGCGAACAGCATCCCCGCAAATCCACGATCCAACGGGAGACCTGGACGGATATTAACTATCCCTGTTGGGGTGCTTGGCAAGAAATCGTCGCGGCCACGGCAAGGGCCAGTCGTAATGTTGTGGAACGGTACCTCCGACGTTCTTCTCGAAGTACCGGAATAAGGGGAACCACCACAGCCGGGCCAAAAAATTGTTTGGTCCGTATTGCTGAAAACAAATGCGGATTAAGGCTAAAGCACGAAAATGAGATTCTTTTCCGGCACCATTAAATGGCAGTCCGTGAATTATTTCTTTTAATTTACGCTCCTACGTAGACGTAACTGGCTTACCTTTAGATGAGAATTATTCGCTAGGGTGTGATAGATGTACCATAGACGCGTGGTAACGTAGTACGCTATGAGGACGTCCACGGTGTAATGACCATGCGCTAGAAGGACCATGACGACGCCAGTGAAAGCCATGAGACCATGGAGCCAGTGGATAGGTTGAAACTTTCTCGGGGAGTCTGAAAGTTCCATCGAGATCAAAGCGCGTCCACAAACGTAATCCGAAGAATTAAGTAAGAGACGCGGTCGCGGGAGCTCGTCTCCAGTCGAGAACAATTAGACGACGGGAAAGCAAGCCAACGACCTGCCCTCCAGGGACTTACATTCCTTGACAATCAGGTAACTAAGTACAAGAACGACCGTGTGACCGCTGTAGATGTAATCCCCGCAGTAAGTGTGCTTGCCGTTAATGGACAAGCCGAAGCCGGAGATTAATTGCAGTACCCTCTTCGTGACGATGAGAGGGGTCGTGGCGTTGGCCTTGGGGCTGCAGAAGTAGGATTTGCTGGCAATGGGCAGCACCGTGACATACATCGTGACGCTGCGCATCATATAAAGCAGCCCCATAAGCAGGAACACCCGTCTAACGACGATGAACCTGGAAAAGCCAAGCAAACGACCATCAATACCGATTCCGACGATCACATCCGCTATTTCCAAGCACCCGACATCACTGAACGGGAGGACAAGTGCCGGCAATTAAGTGCCTCCGCGATTAATCGCATAATAGGGATAATTCAAAGCGAACGTGCGCCTCTTGCGAGGCTCCAGCGATCCTTTCCCGGCACTGGCTCAAAGGTGCCATTCCTCGACTCATGGCTGCCGCATGGGCGGTCACCTGTGCTTGTGGAAGATGATGAAGAGCGTCGCCGAGTTGGAGGCGATCATAATGAGGACCTCGGACACGTTCAGAGCCCAGTCCTGGGCCTCTACGTTGTCGAGGATGATGTCGGGAATGGGTCCATAGGTGGAGCGATCCGGGACACGCTCGTGCACCATGGCGAGGGAGGCGGTCGTGAGTATGAAGTTGACGACCATGAACAGGAACGCTGTGAACGGTAAAAATTAGTCAATGGCGTTGTCATCCTACGCGGTCATCCACCAGGATATTGATCATCCAACGTGTTCATCGGCCGCGTTCGTCATCGTGGGACCTACCAAGGAAGGTTTTCCACTTCTCCTTAGGGAACCGAGGCTCCTCCCTGAGAGGTGCCGGGATATCGAGCTTGATGATGCCGCTGCCGACCCCGTTGGGCATGCCCTGATGCCTGGCATGGCCGAGGGAGTCGATCTTCTCGTCCACGTCGTCCTCGAAGTAGTCCGTCGCGGAGCCGACCCCGGTCCACTTGTCCTTTCCCTTGGCCGGCGCCCCTGGGAGCAGTGGCTGGCGTTGGTACACGTCGCTGGACTGTGCCATCCCGGCGCTGCTCCCGTCCACCGCTGCCGCCTCGACGTCCCTCTCGTGCCCCTCCGCCCCGGCCAGTGGTCGATCGAAGCTGCCGTAATCGCTGTGCAGACTCGTGGCCTTGGGGTCCAATACCATCCTGCGAAATCGGAATGCCATACATTAATCCTGGCTCCTCCAGGACGCGCGTCGGACGCGGAGCGGACGCCTGCGTTCTCTGCGACTCCACCCCCGTAGGTCCCTCTCGAAAATAATTTCATTCGTCTTTCGACATTAACGGCAAACGAGCTCGCGGTCTCTCTAGCCTGGAAATCCGACCTCGCGAGGCGACAAACACGAGACATTACGTAACGGACATGAGACACTCCGGCAGGAAACCACAAATTCGACCCGATTTTTAAAATCGTGGTTCGTTGGAATTTTCGGGCCATTTTTAAATCCTCGCGAGAATTGCGCCAATTTAGAGCGTCCTCTGGACCGAGGACATTATTTCCTTGGATTGTCCAGTTTTCAGAGGAGGCACTTCTCGCAACCTACACGACGCGCGGCCATGACTTCGGATTCAGGAGACGAGGAGGGAGTTTATATCTTTAACGAGTCCCACGGAGGAAGCGGTCTCGGTTTGCCGGATACCCGAATTAAGTGTACGAGGTAAAGTGACGCGAGTTACTTTTTTTCTTTTTTTTTTTTAATTTCATTTTGTCGGGTGAGCACGTGCACTCGAGAGAGAGAGAACATGCGCGTTCTTTGTAGACGTTGTCTCGGCGTACCGATAAATTTCACCGCGGGGTAATCCTGTACCACGGTCCAATCAGGTGTGATCCGATGGGAAGAAAAAAATCAAGAGAAGGCAATGCCGACACAGGTGTACATTGGATACAGAGAGAGACAGAGAGACCAATTTCGCCGTGTCGCGTGCAGATTGATTTTAATTACTTTTACAATTTTTGCGCCCAGCCGAAATTTCATAATTTTCACGATTTTCCTCGCTCAGTGAAAATTTCAATATTTTCATGATTTCATTTCGTGAACGACACCATGCTGATGAAAAATCGCTTGAGTCGATCGAGTCCGGGAAATTCGAGAAATCTCGCCGATGTGCATTGTTAATGACCCGAGGTGACGAGCTAACAATTGACGGAAACGTCGTCCGATTTAGCGATGGTGCAAACACGATTGGAGCCAGGGCGAAAGCTTTGTTGACCCGTCGTTGACCATCGAGTTCCGCGTTCGTTACGCGATGACGTTCACTTGACCGCATATAAAAGAAGCCCGATCGTGGCCGATGCGATCGATCTAGCGCCTACTCGAATGTATTAAAACCGATAAAGAGATGTCACCGGCCAAGATAAAGAGTCCGATAAATAGACGGCGAAGGTCCATCGGCAAATTTTTAGAAGAGTCCTGGTTGCGCCTCCTTATATCAAATAATGATTAAATGATTTTTTAAATCAATATTGAGTGATTAAATCATTTTTAAACGATTATCAAATTCACTTTCCAGAGAGAAATATATCCCAAGACCAGGAAGGCTCGAACCGCCCTCGGCGCTCTCGAGGCCTGATTTCCTCAGTAGGTCGGCTGTTACTCGAACTCGTCTTTTTTCGCCCCGATTGAACCCTCGGGTCGGGTGAAGAAAAAAAAAAATAAAAATAAAAATAATTGGCTCACCAAGGTCGGACAACATTGGCCTGATTCTCTTTCTGGTCAAAGGCCCTCGCAGATAGTCGGAATTATAAGCCCACCGCATTCGGCGGACATCTCGCCCGAATGTCGAACAATTGTACCTAGCCGAGTAACCTTCGATTACGGACCGGTCGGTCTACCTCATTGTTTTCCTCTCCCTCCGATGGCCCTGAAACGACAACGCCAAGTCACGATCCAACTTAAACCCCGCATGACTCCGAAAAAAAAAGTGAAATCCTCGAAAATCACAAACTCACATACCGAGGTCGAATATTAATCACAGTCCCGAAATTTCACAGAGAATCACCCAATGGAAATAAATCCCCGAGGAAAGGCGAAACCTCGCTACGGAAGATCCTTGCGAGCGCATCCGCGCGTTTTTCGCGACTGTATGAATTTTTTAACCTCGCAGCGAGTCCGATAATCTCGCGCAAACAAGCCAGTCGAGTCCCGGGGAGAATATCGTCGATAATGGCATTTTTTTCTCCGGCAAACGTTTACAATATCCCCCCTCAGGGAATCCATAATCATCCCCGTGATTTAACAATCGCCCCCACTGGAGGCGCCGCGAGAGATCAGCTGATTCCGCGTCGTCCGTTGCCAAGGGCGACGAGAAATCGGCGCGACTTCCGATATTTCTGTTTTTTCCCTATTCTTTTTTTTTTTTACCGACGCCAGTTAATTACCCTAACAGCTTCATACCGGGGGAGTTTACGACGAGAACCGCCGTAATTCCACGAGGACGAGGTAATGTTGTCGCCTCGCGTAACGGCGAAAAAAAAAAACAAGAAAATGGGAAGGAGTTAAAATCGCAGATATTGGCGACTTGAGGAAGGCGACTCGCGAGTCGAGTAATTCGCGTTCTCGAACGTTCCCTCCCCGGAAAATCGCGAGCTCCTCGCCATCGAGTCTGCATCTAAGACCTTGATCGCCTCGCGGGTGCAATTACGCGGCCTGGTAATGCAAGCCGAGTAATTAGAGCCGTCCGGGCACGCGAAACTGGCACCCGATGGCGGGCGCCTCCTTCAAAGAGAAACCTTTTAGCACGCTGCCCCGACAGCTGAGAACGAGGCTTACTTTCCTTTCGCATCGGTTACTGACCATCGAGTGCTCGTTTCTGCCGAGCTCGCCAATTATCGCGCGCGTGCGAACGGGAGCGCCGGACGCGATGCGACGTGGCGAAAAATGGCGAAAAATGGCACAGAGTGGCGCAAAACGGCTCAAAATGGCACAAAGTAACGCAACGAAAATCCTGGCAACTGTAGGTCCCACGATACTCGAGGTGGAAGGTGCGAGACGACTACATCGAGGAACGTTCCGTCGACGGTCGGTCTGTTTGAGCAGCTTTTTAAGGTCTCGGCTGTGTGGGTGGCCGCGCATGTGCTCGCCGGTGAACTCGTGACGCACCCACTGTCACTGCCTATCGATCACGAAATGGAGGGAAAAAGAGCCGGAGGTAAAGACAATTAAAGGTCCCCGTCACGGGCGTGGAATTTAGGCTGGACTCGCGCCTACTCCGGGCTTAAGGGGACGCAAAAGGCGGAATCGATCGACGCCGGTTGATGGAAAGAAAAATTCTCACCGTCACCCGAGTGACGTTTCCGGTGCCGACACCTTTGAAACGGGGTAAAACATCGAATAATAGATTTCAGTCGAGAAGGAATTTTTTTTCTTTTTTTTTTCCCCGGGGAAAAGTGCAATCTTTCTCGGATTAGCCACGTCATAAAATTCGGCGCGACCGGTTCCTCAGAAATATTATAACATTTATTTGACACCTGGGGGGCCGCTTTTGGAATTTTTCATCCCATCGAGATATTGAGGTAGCGTCTCGCGCCAAGTGTCCCCGCATGAGGACGAGGGGTCTGATTTACGCAACCGTGGATATGGAGATCTGGGACGACTCGATGTTTCATTCCGAAGCTGATACCTTTGATCTTGCTAAGGCGAATCGGGCTTTCCTGGTTCTCTGACTCACTTCCTCGGGACTGATTCACTGACTATTCGCGAGAGCCACGCTCTGGCGTTCGTCAATGGTACGTTGCTTACGTCTGCATACATTATGGGTGTCCAGACCGAGAAAAATCCGAATTGTTCGGGCTAAACCCTACTTCGATTCCCCGCTGACGATATTTACTCCACCCGGCGGTCCCTGAAAGTTTCCCTCGGCGTTAGTTCTCTTTTATACCAAAAATTCTCGCATTAGTCAACGCTTTCGTTGACGAACAATAGGTCGATTTGCGCAACGACCGGAGAGAATATGCACGGTCGGCCGACACGAGTGTCGCTCGTGATAAGTCATGTGATTGACAAGAGGTCGATCAACGCGAAAGCCCGAGAAATCGTGTGAAAAAAAAAAAAAGGAAACCACGAAGTCCCGAGAAGAAAGACCGCGTTTATAAAATCATGTATATAGGGAAGAACTCGGGAATGGAATCGAAATCTCCCGAAGCGAAGTGTAACGAGAAATAAAATATCCCCCCCCCCCCCGATGGTCTCCAGGTATTTTAAGAACACGTGTCACGCAGGGGGTTCCGGGAAGCGGGTAAATTTTTCATAAATAAAGGAGCGATGTAAAAAGACCAGACGAAAATAATCGCCGTTAAATCCTGGCTCGAGGTGCCTGCGGGAGGAAAGAAATGAGAGAAAAGGAGAAAAGAGGAAGAAGACGGAAGATGCACGAGGAAAAAGTCCCTGAACGGCTACTTACGACGATTCACCTCTTAACTGGGTTAACTCGAGTCGAGATAATTAATGAAATAATTACGCGCCAAGTAGAGCTAACGTATCTACTCACAAACGGGGTTTTTCAAGAGCCACGCTCGTTCCATTTCGCGATAAGGTCCGGATGTTACACTTCCCGGTGAACTTGGCTCGGTATTTTAAGTGCAACACAAGTTATGCTCACGAGAGCGAATTTATTATCGAAAGCTCTCGTAAGTTCCGAATCTTCGGATTAAATAATATTTAATCGACGGATTCTAGGACACAGTAAATAAGGCCCACCGCGGTGCGTCCTCGAAATAACCCGTTATCGCCGATGTAGTAATCGGAAAGGGGGAAAAAAAAAAGAAAATGGAAGAGTAACAAAGTATGATTAAATGAACGCGCAAGAAAACCTCGAGGGTCCGTAAACCGAGCTCGGAATGAAATCGCGAGTGCCCCTTTTAATCTCGTTTTTATCCGAGCATTCTGACGTTCAAAATCGGGCAGGGATTTCAGAAGAAACGTATATCGCGTAGGTCTCCATATTCGTCATCGTGACGTAATAACTAGAGTACGGCAGAATGGCGTTACGTCATCGCGATGACAATTCTGCAACAACCTGTAGCGCGCTTACGCCGAGGGCTAGAGTCGATTTGTCAAGACCACGTAATACGCCAAATTGGCTCTCAATGTCTACAGACTTGTAAACCACTGAAATCGGAAATATTAGCATCGAGTAGGGCAGGAAAAAAGACGAATCACATCACACTTTCCTGCAACCGGTCGAAGAAAAATGACGAGAAAAAAATGATGAAAAATCAAGTACACGTGCAAGTCGGGTGATAATGTTCAAATGTGCAAATATTATATTTGCATGGAGGCCGAAGACCGAGAAACAACCCGAGACGTTCACGAGTCACGGTGAAGAAATCATTAAAATGATCGTTGTCTCCATAGGAATGTATCGTGTCGGTTTTAGAGATGAGCGTTGGAGGGTGTCAAATATTTACGCAGAAGGAAGATAAATTTAGTTCGCCATGAAAGGATATCTCGCGTCATGGTTTACTCACACGCCGTCCAGGACGAAGATGTTACGTGCCGGTTGCATGATTCCGAGGTAAACGGGCGAAAAGTGTGACGATTGCGTACTAGAGAACCGGGTAAAGACGGCGGAGCCGCACTCGCACTGGCGTCATCTTGGCGACTGATCCGCGGCAACCTGTAGCACGGCTTACGTACCGATACTGGCGTACTGCGCGCTAGATTCAATTTGTCAAGATCAAGTGAAAGGCCAAATTGGCTCTAGCCTCGCGGCAAGGTCCCGCGCAATACGCATCCCAAAAATAACGCTGGACCACCGGACAGCCAGACGATGGATCCCCTCTGCGAAAGCAACCACCGAGGAAGTGCACAAATTTCACGGCCATCCAATCCAATCCTATCGAAGCATCGGTTACATCAAAACCGATGGCAAGGCTCCTTCGAAGCTCCGACTCGATTGCAAACAGCAGGGTCACGGACGTCAACTTTTGCCTGCGGTGTACAAACATAAAGCACTTGCGAAGGTTATTTCTCAAAAGCAGGAAGGAGGGTCTTTCGAAGCAAAGGAGTGGGACGGAGCTGCATGTCAGGAGTACGAAGAAGATTAGCGGATACTCAGAGGAACGGAATGTATGGTCATCGCTGATAGTATCTTGATATCGAGGCAATATTTTCCTTCCGACTTATCTTTTAGAGAGGATGAACTCTGCCCCGCCGCTCTCTAATCGCACGATTGGGAAGGAATTTATCATAGGTGGTGCCAGTGGATGGCATGCACGGCGAGTGACCCCTTTGGGTTACGACCGATAAATTAAACGACGTACCAAATTTTTCATACGAACTTAACGCAGTCCCGTACACATTCTCCTATTCGGGGTATTATTCGATCGAACCGCTCCAGTAGTTCCCTGCAACCTCACAGAACAAATGAAGACATATTAATCTCGATTCGTAAGACAAGTACCGTTTCACCTAGGAACGTCACGTACGACTAGTACCCGACTCCCTAGCATTATCTCGCAGGACTTTCGGAGGTGAATTCGCATCGACAAGTCGAATGCAGAAATCCACTCTTCGGGTACGTAATAAATATAAGAATATAGTATTATATCGATACCTGTTAACTAGGCTTCCCCATACCTTGTTAACGCAGTGGGCAATTCGACCTTGACAGGTAGCCTTAATTTATGCATTTTACTCACACGTCCACGCACGAGCACGTGACACTGTCTCACTATTCGTTAACGTTCTGGAAATCGCGAGGAAAGTATACAAGGACAGAGGGGAGGTTCCGAGCGATATGACGACGACTCGAGAGCGTCTCTGCCGACAGCGGGAAGGAAGTGGACAGCACTTTTACAAGAAAAACGCCAGACCAGGGCAGGACTAACCAACTTTTCGGAAGAAACGGATTGGTTTACATGGACGGCGGCCAACGCGATTGTTTCCCCGAAGCTCGCGCACTCCAAAGGCTGGGTCGGGCCGCGATCAGTGACGCAAGCTTATATCGTTTGTATCGCGGCGCATCACACACTGACATCCCGATGGATTGCTTCGTTCACGTAGATCGTCGATCGTAGCCGCGGCCGTGGTCGTTAAACCTTCTTCGCAGCCGACTTTGCGTGTGAGGCGACACACAGAAGCGCGCGTACTTCGGACCCTCGATCCGATGCTCGTGCACCGAGCTGCCAGCGCGCACAGTCATGAATGCAGCGATGTGTGCAAGTGTGCGAAGAAAGACATGCGTACGTCGGGAAAATAAATATGGCCGCTCACGGCGAATCGCCGAGAGAGAGGGCAACGCTCGACCGCGAGAGAGAGAAGGACGGAAAAACGGGAGGGAGAGAGAGAGAAAGAGAAGGGGGATCGGTATGTTCAGAAACGCGTCCAGGAGGAGCGAGTGGATTCCGATTGAAGTAAATAAATATAACGTTGGGTGGGCGGCGTAAACGTCTCGGAAGGTTTAAATTTCCGCCTTGATGTTTTCTCCGGAGATCCCGGAACTGGTTTTCTAAATATTTCTTACGAAAGAACCGTAAGACCGAGCTAACCCGTGCTTTGCCAGAAGCCTTGCCGAAAGCGCCTCACTGTGGCCATCTGGCGACTCCGCGGGCAAGTTTGTGGCGCCGCCATATTTGAATTTAAACAAGGATTGTTTATAACTAGCATAATTTCCTGCAGAAAATGGGCACATGGGCTTCGCTCGTGGTCAGATTTATAAGGTAAAACGTGTTAAGTTTATTAATAAGCGACAGATTTAAAAACTACTGGAATTATATATACAGGAAGCTCGATCAAGAGTCTCGAACTCGTGCCGATGGATACGGAAAGGGAGGTCAAGGTGGAATTTCTCCCCTTGACTTTTGACTTATCGGTTACTCTCGTCCAGGCCATTAATTCAGGAAGAACTATATTTCACCGGGTCCCTGCAGTCGGACAAAGAAAAGCGTGACACTGTTCCGTGCTCTCTTTCGAGACTGGAAGGCTGCCAAAATAATCCCCGGCTTTGTACAAATACTTGCGAGCCCATTTCGGCGAAGCCATTAGTCCGTATGTATATCGTCATGCTCTTATCAAGGTCGAATATTCCTCCCACTCCACCCTCACCCGCAGATGTTAACCTACAGGATTAATCGTTAAAAAAAGCATTGCCCATTCAGCACTCCGTTGAAACAAATCCTACCCGTTTTATCGACCACCGTTAACACCGACAAGGGACACTACCTGGCAAGTATTTCACCTCTGACATAGATTCTAAAATTAATTAGAACGTTAAGCCTCTCTCTCGATCCGGGTCACTTACCTCAGCAATGCTTTCCTCCAGCAGTAGCCGGTCTCGATGACGAGCAGCTGCAGTTTCATCATATACGCCGACTTGGACCACGAAGAAGACATGCAAATCCTGAAGGGTTATCTCTTGGGGTGCACGTAACGACTCGACAATTCAGATGAGCCCCTTCAACTTGGGTTCCCTCGACAGGCACACGACACGGTTTGGCAATCCTCTTCCTACCACCGACGTTATCTACCCCCTATCCGTTACGCGTCTTTGTTTACAAATGACGAGGTGGCTGCACGAGGCGAGTAATCATAGCTCGCGAGACCGCATAATTGCGCAGTCACGGGTGACGCGATTAATCTTGGCCTTTTAAATTTCAGAACGCGGACCGGCACGACGGCGGATTGCAGTTCGTCTCCTGGCCTTCGAACTTCAGCGAACGTCTCTCCCCATTGCAGCCGCTTCGGTCGCGGTTCGGGCAGTGAAAGATGCAGCTTCGGAGGATCACGGATTCTTGCAGCTTCGAGGGGTTAAGCAGTCGCAGGGACAGAGCGCAAGCGCCCGCTCATAGATCGCGCGGAAACGCGAACCTCGATACCCCCGTGACGTCATTCGGGCTTTCATTCAGGAACGTTCGACGCCCACGCGATCTTGACATCGCGGAAATTGAGGGATGCCTTTTTTCTCACTCTCTAGGGCGACCTCAAAAGGAACGAGAACGTTTCGGGTCCGAATTGAGGGCGACCCGAGGTCCGATTAAACCGAAAGAGGCACGATAGAGGGCGACCGCTGCCATCATTAATTCAGAACTCTACGATGCAGAGTGAAAAAACAGAATTTGGTAAATAAGATCTAGATGTCCAAGATATCCAAGATGCCCAGGGTACCCTGATCGCGGATATATTTTTATTCGATTATTTTTAAGGATTGCTATTGCGGCGAACTCAGGCGAAAATGGCTATGGAAGTGAATTCGTTAATTAAATTAATCTCGGTAGATTAATTAAAATGTTTTAATAGAGGTTTATGAAATTTCGCCGGTTCAAGCCGTGAAAGCAACTGTAGGTATGTAACCATCTATAAGCGGTGTATGGATTGCAAGGTTCAGTGATTACACCGCAAGATGGCGGTACTTACTCGGAACGTCTAAAGGAATTTTACATGTTAGGTAATTTTAATCTGCCTATTACCATACTTGAAGATAGCAACCTCAGGCAATTATTCGCGTTCTTCTACTTATCTGTGATATCGAGGTCACGCACAATTATACGTACCTTCTTTATCGCTGCGAGTTAATGTTAATATTCTGGTAGTTTTTAATGGGGTTACGGCGAGACGAATAAAGTGAAGGGTAGCTCAATTTGATTGTTACTTTCTTTAATTAATGTTAAATGGGTAAACATTTACAGTTTTAACAGTAGTAATAAAAATATGTCTCTGTGGATATTTCTCGTAGTGAATGACGCGAGTTAAGGCTTTCCGTATTGCGCCGACTTGAACGGGTTTGTAACGAATAAATTTCATAATTATTGTACGTGGGCTGTAGAACGAGACAGACCAATGTACATCGGATAATACTCGTAGAGTTTACCAGCGATAAATAAGAACTTTGTGACTGATCTGACAAGTAGACTGACTGTAAGCAATAAAATGTCTACTCGGGTATATAAAAGTCTGAAGCTATTGCACCTGCAAGATTCTAAACGATTTAAAGAGGTCTCTCCTGGGCGACTACTGTTAAAAAAGATTCATTCTTCTTCTTATTTTTTTTTGGTCAAAATAAAGCTACTAAATATTTACTACGCTTATCTCTTCGAATTTTGCACAGAAAAGAGGTATTATTCTAAAGTCTATAAATATGCCATCGAACAAGGTAGCCTTGTCACTATCGGCACTTGCCCTTTGTACATAGAATTAAATACCAACGTGCCTACATTAATTGAGATTATTTCCTCCTACTCGAATTAACTACTAGATTCGATATAAATTGTTTTTTTTTTCTCCTGCCCGTCAACTTAATATCTTGCTTTATTCCTTGCTTTATTGCAATCCATAAACTCTGGTAAATAAAAGAAAGTACTATACTTCGTATCTAGGTCTGTATAGGCATTTCGGTTTTAAATCGAATTTACTCTGCTTTGTTAAATATTGCCACGGTAGACATCGCGCACGACACTAAGGTACAAGCCAACAGTACAATAAAATATGAATAAATTTCGACATTATATAACTACTATAATAAATTTAAACTCAAGTATTATGTATTCTAACGAAAATTGCTTGCCCGTTTAATATATATCATTTCTTATATATATCGTATGCGAACGAATAATTATATGCATATATTTAATATTATAAAGAATAACACGACCAACGAGGTCTAGATAAATTCGTCAACATTTACTTCTTAACTTCGCCACTCCCGAGAAATAGAAAAATCAGGAAACAACGGTTTTGCACGTTGCCGATCAAATAAACCATGCGCATTTAATATCGTATTTGTAGGAAATCCTTATTGGTATCGCGAAACTTTTTTTTCATACCAAAATGTCGTACTGAAATCTGATTGTTCCGTGTGGATAAATTTCGTATTGCTTCATTCTAACACATGATTCTGTTACTATTAATAAAGCAATGTGCTAATGATTTGACTCGAATTAAAAAACAATATCATAGGAATTTTCTCAATTACGATTTAACAGATTCTATGACCTGTGAAATTCAGAAGTAAATTAAGACAAGCCCTCGTTACCCTACCCGAATTATATATATACATGTATATATATAAAACGGTGCGGTGCACCTAACATGTAATCGCTCACGATTTTCGTTATCAAGGCGCTGTGATAACGCGTACGTGAATCAGGCACGAAGAGATTCTTCTGGTATACGCCCATAATATCTATTTATGGTGATAAAGTATTTCCGAACGATTGATATCAACTTAAGTAGATTGCAGATCACTCGTAGTGTATCTATGCTTTAAGCATGTATGTACATACATAAAATAATGGACGAGTTAACGATAAATCGAGGATCCTTCGTAACACAAGACCCCTGCAACTCAATGAACAACGGGCACAAGATTTCCAAAATACTAATTGTACAGATATTTAACGTACATATAACTAAAACTCTTATAGTCATATTTATGGCAGACCTAAACGTTAACAAGATATAATTAATATGTAATGTTAATCAACATTAAGTAAATCAATTTCTCACGCAATCTCACCTGCACTTATGAACAAATTATACGTACATATATTTATATAACTTAAGGGGTAATAATTTCGTAAGGGGTGGAAACACCAGATCTGTTTGTTTTTACCGCTCGAGATTGGTTTGCGTCCTATTATACATACTATATATATATATTTCAATAGTACACATAGACTAAACGAACCCTTTGCCTGATCTGTAGGATATACCGAATCCGACGCCACCGACACTCTAAGTGTACTTGGCGCGGGACTCAGCCGAGTCTCTTGATCGCAACTTACTCGACTTCTATCCCGCAGAACAGCCAAAGGAGTTGCCTTACCTTTCAAGAAGACTCGTATCGCTGCTCGGTAATTCCGGATATTTCTCAGATCTTCGTTGTCTCACTTTGATAGGTGATATTATCCCTCGTTAATGATTGGCGACTTTCGTCATCACGAAACTCGTCCTCGTTAAGTTACCAATTTCGGGTAAATCTCAACGGCACGTACCGTCGACATTACCGATGATATTCGAGCACGAATCGTTCCATCGAACATTAAGTCGAGTCTGCGTAAATACGGTACGCTTTAAGAGTGTCGCCTGGATTACGCTAAATAAATGTTGCACGAAAGTACGTTTAACTTCTAGACCAGAACCAACTTGTCTACTGCCTAGTCTCGTTCTCGAAAAGAAATCTGGCGTGGTTGCTGGATTCGTTACCTCCTGCTATATCACGAATGATGAACAACGAGTAACGTGAACAAGGAGAAATTTCGAAGTTAGGCGACATATTCGGTGGCGCATGAAAGAATGATCAACAATCGTTACTAAGATATTAGTACCACGGTAGCGGCCTTATTAATTACATGGCAATTTATTACAATGAAACCCGGTGACTGGGATAATCTGGCAATATGGCGTAATGGCTTTTCGATCGTTCACGTCCCTCATCTTTTACCATTCGGGAGATAACGATAAATGGCAATCTAACGAAAGGTGCGACCACTTCAGACCGTCCGTTTCCTATCCTACGAACGATTCTCCGCGCTCTTTTTTTAATTATCCGAATTCGTACTCGCAGAATATATCCTCCCAACTTGGGCGGAAGTTGGGAGCTTAGGAGGTGTCCCCTAGTTTGCACATCTCCGAAGCAAGCCTATACCTTTTACCCCGATTTCGAAAACCGTAACGCGAATAAGTACAGAGCAGACCTCTACCGAGAATATCTTGCACGAGACGCAATCAACAATTTCCGAAACATGTATCTACAGAGAGACGTTCTCGCAATATCGTACATCTTTCATAACTCGATCCCCCGTCGAACTTCTCGTTGCCGATGAAAACTAAAGTACCCAATGAACGAACGAAGTCCCTGATAAACATAATTAAGAATTTCTCAAGATAACGTTCCATTATGCGGAACGACAACCTTAAACGCAGGGCTTTCGACGCACTTTTCATTCATTAGGTACCGTATTTAGTTACCTTATCGCCGGAAAACTCGACAGAGCTTCGCGCCAAGCGCACGTCGTTATCGCGAGTTCCTCAAGATTTTGCATTCTTTTTTCCTATTTCTTTTTTTTTTTGTTTTTGATAGACACCCTGGAAACTTTTTTATCGGGCAGTTTGGTTGGGTCGCTATCGGGTGGCTAGCGGGAAATTCGGTAGAGTCTTGCGCCAAGTGCATCTCAGAGGCACTGAACAACGAGCGCCTCGAGGGGATCTCTCGCCCGGCTTAACGACTTGCGTGGTCGTACAAACTTTGGGATTTCTCGGATTTCTCTTCTTATTTTCAGGATAAGGGATGGATAAGCTTGACGAACAGGGCTGGTGACGCGGACGGCGAAGGTGGTCAGCTGCTCGGCGAACCGATCGAACGCGGATGCTGTTCCAGAGTCCAGGTGTTAGCACGGGGCGAGTGGATTCCATTGTTAGCACTCCAAGCCTACAGGCCATGGGCAACCAGGGTTAACAAGAAAGAAAAGAAAAACAGTTTGTTAGTACTTCTTTCTGATCATGAACGACCGACGTTAACATTAATCTAACAGCGTTCGGTCAGTCGAGAGAGATATGGTTAATGAAAAGCAATGCTCTCAGCGATAATCAAGATACTAAAGAACCGAGGATATAATGTACAACTAAATTCAATTTTAAATAAACAAGACCACGGGACACCTCGATTATTCTTGGAGGGTCCGATATTGAGATCGATCTTGACCAAAGCTGTGCAGGCGAATAAAAGGTAGCATTGCTTTACACTGCGTCAATTAAAAATTATTAGTATGAAGCATTTGACTCGTGCGTATACAATGAGACGTGACCATATCGGCTAAGTAACGACCCTTGACTTGGCCAAGAGTCATTAGTCGCCCTGTACCTGGTATACGACTAGTAGGCTACTTTATTCATAGAGTTATTAATTTGAGCTGCATTTCTTATGTGGCTCGTGTACCCTCCCCGCACATAGGACAGGCAAAAGAGACTAAGGATTAATACAGGCATTCGAAGAACGTATCGAGTGAATTATTCGGTAATTTACAATTCGACTTGCGACCGACGGACTGTCAAGACCTACTGACAACGCGATACCTAATCAGTAATGCTGCGTTGCCAGCGATCGGTGAGATACCAGCTGAACATACACCGAGAAAAAACCTCCCCTCTGTCGAGACTAATTGCGCCCATAATTATGAAAGTGGTCTAAGTTATATATTTTTTGTTTCGAAATTACATTGAATTAATTTCCTTTGAAATAATATGGCGAGAAATAACTGATAATCATTTTTTTTTTATTTTGACTTAGACCACTTTCATAATTATGGGCACAATTACTCTCCTCGACGGAGGACAATGTCGCGATGCATCGCAATCGAATCGACTCGAAGAGAAGATCCGTTTAAATGAAAATCGAGACACCATCCTCGAGGACAGGTCTCGGTTTCTTTTTCAATCTCTTATTTAATTTCATTTTCGGTGCACAATCATAGCACGCGCGTTAACTCTACGTCGATCTCGTTGGCACGTTGTAGCGTTCACTGTATCGTGCCATCGAGACGCTCCAAGATCGAATTGCCGATAGATCATTATTAATTGTTTAATTTTACAGAGAGAGAGAGAGATATTCGATAATTCGGAACAATGCGATGCGAGTTACTGCGCCCGTCGTGGCACGTGGACTTATCAGGCAATGTGACATCGATAAGAGGATTTCAATAATTTGGCAATCGCGGTCGTGGTCGGTCATCGGAATAGAGTAGTCGACTTCGAAGGTATACCGATGCGTAGAGAGATATTAAGAAAAAAAAAAAAAAAAAAAAAAAAAAAAAAGTCGTAAAAAACGTATTAATAAATTGTTGCGATTAATAATGTCCCATCAGCAAGCAGGTGTCAGAGGCTCGTGAGTTACGCGCGTGCCATCGTAGGACAGATCTATAGTACAGTTCCAGGCATATCAAAAGCATATATTATTGTTGTACGGTATTAAAAAATCTCTAGATATGTATATAAATAGTTAGTGTCAACTTGGCCATGTGGAGCATTTTTTGTTAGTTCAATAAAAGATGGTGCTGTTGTGCGGTCTATGTGATGGATGATAATTGCGCCTAATGATAAGGGTGTCAATAAATAAATTATAAATGTCACGTTGTTAGTGGTAATACGTAAAAGGGTGGGACGTCGTCTCGGGCAGCTTTTTGTAGTAGTAAGTAAACGTCACCTTGATTTTTCACCTTGGGACATTGATTTGCTCGTATCGATCGAAGTCATGGGGCATCGATTAACCGTGGAAAAGAGATCAGTGGAAATAGATACGAGTGATTCTTTTTTTTTTTTCTATCAGGTGTGGGTCAATAGAAGATGAAGAGTAGGCAGCAGTGCTCCTGGATGAGCAATTGAGTGAACATTTTCATTGAGTCGTGACTTAAACCCAGAATAAGCGATCAGCTTTTCGGATCGTCGTCGAATGCGAACTCTAATTGATCGATCGATAACGTGCTTCACCTTCCATTTACCCAGACGTCTGTTGTCATTGTATTTAATTCGAGCTGATCTGCGATCGCAGGATTAAACGATGCCAACCGGTAAATCAAAGACCTTCGCGCCGCATCACGTAACCACCCCTGCGATTTTTTGACTTACACCAAGAAGAATAACTTTGTTTTTCATATAAATATTTATTTAAATCGTATAATATAATAATATATGTAAATCAATTTATATATACAGATCAAATGGAAGGTCTATAAGTGTTCCACAGGCACAAGTTGCCAAACAAATTAACGAAATGCAAAATATATATGTCCTGGAAAGCATTCGTATAAGACGACGATTTGAAATCTTAGAATCTTATTTATCGATACAAGCACCGAATTCTTAGTTTATTGTCCTTCCGAACACAAACACCACACTGCCCCTGTGTTCTACTTGTCGAATCGATCGAATGGTCAACCTCTTTCAATGGTAATTTCCAAATGTAACTATAGAAATTAAAGGACTAGCACGGGGCCAATGACTGGTCGATACCCGCTGAAAATATTCTACGAAAACCGATTAAAAAAAAAATGGAAGGGATATCCAAAAAGTAGACTGTATAAAATGAATTCTAGAAAATGATGAAAATTTAGGGAAAAACCACGAAATATCAATTTCGCCCATTAAAAGCCTGATCAGCCTTTTTCGTGGGGTCGAATTTTTTGAAGTAAATGTCCAATCGATATCGAAAAAGTTTCCCCGAGCGGCTTCGCTGAATTTTCAAAGGTTCTTATAGAAAATCGTCAGCAGGGAAGGTATCGAGGTAGAAATCGAAAGAATCGGGCAGTGTTCGCAACCGAATTGCAATAATTCCATTAAAAATCCGCATCGCGCATTCGTTTGCCACGATATATGTGTATAAATAATATATAGCAAACTTGTCTACGCACTTAAAAGAAACGAGCGTACCCTTCCGGTACATAAGTACCATCTGTACTTGTTGCTTATGCCTAAGAGCGGGGAGTTACGCCAAAAGGATCTTGCGTCAACGTTATGTCAAAAAAGTCAGCTATCCAAGAGGCAAATCTTTCCTGTACTAGCCGATACTACTGCCTTGCCAATATAGCTTTTTTTCTCTCAATGATTCGGGGCCGTTCGTCGATCACGAACCGTCCAGAATGAAAAAATCCGATCAACCTTATATAACATTTTTCACACGATCACGGTCGGCCCCCTCAAAAGTGCACATAAAACAAGAAACAATTAAAACCCCCGAAAGCAAGACCTCCTCGTAGAACACAGAATCACGAGAAACTTGCACGGTAAAAAGACAAGACTCCATCGAATCTTGTCGACGAGATCTCAGATCCAATAAATTCGTATACTCTGAAAAAATCGTAACAAACCCTCCTACTCTGGTATTGCACTCGAAATTTAGGTACTTCTAAAGCTCCAGATATCCAACACCCCGATATACTTTTAACAAGTAGAATTTCAAAAGAGAAACTAATAGAAAAAAAAATAATGATAGAACGAGCAACCCGAGGAGGTCTCCGCTCGTCTGTGATTCGAACCGGGATAAATATGCCGTTCGTGCATAACCGACTGTAAAATATACGACGATCGCTGTTCTCTCTTTCATGTATAAATACGTATATATATATAGATATATAGATAGATATTCGGATAAAAAAGAAAATCGAAATGATCGATGCGGCATCAGGTACACAGGACGAGCGTACACACATCACTGCTGCTGTCAAATCCAACCGAGTGCCGTGTGAAAGCTCTCGCATACATTGGTAGCTGTACAAGTTAAATATGAATTAAACGTAATGAACATTTGTGCAAAACTAACCTTTCCGCGTACTCTCTCTCTTTCTCTCTCAGTGTACTCGGTATTCACGAGAGAGCGCCGGCCCTTTGATAAGGGTGCTCTCGAATTTGACCCAAGTGCCTACGCTGCTTGGCAGCGGCCGCTGCACCTGTCATCATACAAATGTCAGTAATCATCCCGTTTACAGGTAAACGGGTTTCCATTCTTCCTGGCAACTCTACGAAACGAGCGCTGCCACTAGAAATCAATCCTCACCAGATTACCATTCATTTTAAGGAGGTGGCCTCGCGTGCTGCAAGAATTCAAAGTCGAGCGATAACGACGCCGACAGCGAGTCTGATAACGATGTCAAAAGAGCCGAACACCCGAAGGAATTTTTGTCAACGCGACTTTCTCGTTAAATTCCTTGCAATTCGCAGGCCCTCCACCTTTCGAGCGCATGCACGGCGAATCCGGCGAACGGGTTAAATATTTCGGATACGTTATCTTGCACGCGTTCGTCCTCGATTTTTAATACTGCAAAGATAGGGTGTCAAACAATGAGGACGATGTATGAGAATGATCTAAACGTTCGCCGGCATCCGCGGTGCAGGGCGGCCGAGATAAGATTTCTCTTTCTTTACAAGTAATACAATTGTGATAGTAATAATTAATAATAATAAAATTAACATAATGTACGCAATAATACGTAGTCCGCACGTCCAAAAGAGACAACTGAAACCGGACACGCCTCTTACACGTATATGGCTACAAATCATTTTTGATTCTCCAAGGAAATCAGGTAAGACGGTTTACGTTATTCTATAATGTGTCCAGCCTAACTCACGTGTTCGTAGCAACGATGAGTATTAAAGAATACACCCTATTCTTCGCTCCGACCTTCGTATAAATATAGTGGCTAAATCTTTATAAAAAATAAAATTAAATAATCATATAAAATAATATAAAATAATGTACACGATTCTCGTAGTAGCGTATATAATGTTTCTCGAGGGCTGTCCGATTAAAAGGGCGACTCTCGCGATGTGACGAGAAGTTGTCATGAGTATTTATTTTTGTATATCAAGTACACCGACATATGTACAGCGAGACCCCCGAATGTTAATTAGAGTTGATGAAAAATTATTGCCGATTCGTTAAGGTGGAAAGTCAACCGCGTAGGCCCGAGAAATGTGTCGTCGCGTTGTTGGACGTAAGATGTGAATTTTTTGGTACAATTGCAATGTGCTAGGGTCCTTTTGAAGGGACAGCCGTCAATTCGGATAAACAGCTACAAGTATACGCTAGAACCATCAGTCCTCGAAACACGTTTGTTTGGTCCCTGGGTACTTCCCCTACACCTATTGTCTGCCTAAAACCCTACGCATTTAACCTACCTATCACCGGTTATTAGTTGGAAAAATTGTATTTGCACCCTGTAAACGATTGTTCGCGTACACGGCCACAGGATGCGCGATGCAACTTCCCGAAGGTTTGCATAAATTTACAAAGGAATTTTCAAAACCGACTTGCTCCACTTGCCGCGTAATATCCTGGGTACGTCGATGCGATTTTACATATCTACATTGAGTTGCAAATTTTCGACAAGTTGCGCAACGCTCCACGATGTACGTAACAATCAGTCTACGGTGTCCGATGTACCCAATCGCTACTGCAATCGAAGTATCTCTGACTGTGAGTTTAGAAAACAAAAATAAGTAGGCTCTAGTAAGTCATTATTAACACTTGTTAACCGTTGCTTCTAAGTGGAGTACTTCGAGGAACACGGTAAAAATTTCATTTCACTCGTTACTGCACTTTTTGAAATTCCTCCAAATGTTACGCACCGATTATGAATATCTCCGGATGATTTTAAGAATTTAGGACCAAGTGTACTGGCATTCCTCACCGGGGAGAACTTGAAGAGAGACTTTTTACGTCACCCGAAATTGAATGAACGGGATCAGGGCACAATTGGCTGTTACTTAAGTGAAATCACGGGGTGAGTAAGTATTCGTAGGAAAGGCGGACCGATCGAGTTAGTGTCGTTTTTAGTTTGCGTGTTAGACCAACCCTAGGGATTCACTCGAGATTCTAGTGGTACTTGGTAGTGTTACTGGTGATCGTCTGCACGAAGCGCTTACGTTTGAAACGTACGAATAAAAAGAAAAATGCAAAAGAGTACCAAAATCCGATTACTAAACCATCACCACATTAAAACGATCGATAAAGACGTTAAAGACTTTTTAGTAAGGATCGTATATAAGTAGATAAAGATATATATATATGCGTGTAATTCCGATTTCACGAGGTGGACAAAGCTCCACAAATCGCCAGTTGGGCCCCCAGTGAACAACGTCGCACGATAAGCCCTGATTTGTCGGTTTCGATGATTTTCCCTCCCCTGAAATCAGCTGATCGATTCACCTGACCCTAATCCGGGGCAAATCTTGGGACAAACTGCACACAAGTGCAGGATGCATTTGCGGAGCAAGTGTCACCCCTTGGAAGGGAGTTCCTAAAAAAATATATATATATATGTATATATTCGATATATCCGAGGAGAAAGCTATTACGCTAATACTACCTAACGCAGGCTACTATTAAATAAATATTTTATCTTTGTATTAACTACAACATGAATGGCCTTTGATTATTGCATTGAGTAGAGCACGACGTGTGCCACGCGAAAGAGGGGGTCCTCCGCCTGTAAAGCGCGAGGATCCACTAGAGAGTATGTGCGGTGTTCACGAACAAAATATTAAAAAGAAATTAAAAAAGGCGTGCGCACGTAGCCCGAACAATTGGTTGCGCGAGAACGCGTTCAACCGAGGGTGTAAACGAACACACGCGTGCCTACTTTTCTTTTCCTCTTTTTTCCGCCGCGGGGTAACTGAAGGGCACAGGAACGGTTTTTATTATCCTTCCTTAAGGTGCCGATCGAATCGATGCGCTACGCCCTGTTAAAAGAGCTCTTAGAGCTGACCTGCTTAGCTTCAATACTGTGTACGATAGATTTTTACGTCCTATACTAGCCCGGAGAGAAGATTCACCCTTTGAGGTTATTCCGTCTAATGTCGCTCGTTGTACCGTTTCTGGCCGGTTTAGTCCCTCAAGAAATGCATTTCATTCCTTCCAAGCATCCGACTTTGACTAATCTTACATTGCCAATCGACGTCGACTCGGAGTACATGCTCGAATGGAATAAAAAAAACTTGAAACCGTTTTCGTTCTTGCTGAACGCACGTTATACGTAAATATAAAATACAATTCCTCGCGAAACGAGATACAACGGGTCGACAGAGACTCCCGACAGAGAACAGAGATAGATTCCTAAATCTTTGTGGCCGTGCAATAATTGCAGTCGGCGTTATGGCATTGTCGAGTCTGTTCCATACATCTCCGCAGTCGAATAGTACGCGAGAGCGCCGCCAGAGGCGCTCTCCCTCGGAGCGCAGAATATATTTTGGACTAGTATATCTACATCTCGATCCGGCAGCGCATAAAATTGTCTCTCTCTCTCTCTCCCTCTCTCCTCCGAATCTCTCCACGCATTCTCTATCCTAGATCGCTAAGACCTCTATTAAAAAGCCGCGACTCAATGTCATGTTGCTGCTACATCGTCAGCCGAAAGTGCACGAGCGGCCGTGCAGCCGCTAGACGACAATGTAATAATAATATATATATATTGTATCAGAACTGACGCGACTAGTAAGTGACTGATTCAGCTATTTTCATCCTAAGTATCTACCCTACGATAAAAAAAAAAATATACATATATAACACCGGCATAAATACACATATATACGCATACATATGCCGGCGTGCGTTCCGGAGAATACTCAGACATGATAAAACGCGCGTGGATATATACATATATATAATATATATACAATTTTTCAAACCTACGGTCAACTCCATATACTTATATATGCGTGTGTATATATATTATATATATATTCATAATTCGACCTAATCAATCGGCGTAACGTTTAACAACCGAGCTAACGATCTATTAACCATTAAGCAATAGAGTAGGCCCCGGCCTAGCGTCAGCGAGCAAACAACCCACCAGAATGGTCAGCAGTGGCGTACTCGGTGAGTAGCGGGGACGCCGCCAGGGCGGCGTAATTGGCGTAGTCGGCGTAGGGCGTGTATATAAGGCCGTGCGGGTCGCCCGCGGAGAGCAGAGACCCCGGGGGCCCGGACCCGTTCAGCAGGGAGGCGGCGGTCGTCGGCACGGAGATCCTCGGCGACAGGATCAGTGGCGCGCCCAGGGGGGCGCTCGGAGTCCGCATTGGCGTGGCCAGGCCCGGCAGAAGGCGCTGCGTTTCCGCGGCCGCCGCCGCCACGCGCCTCCACTCCTCGTCGCAGGCTGCAATATCGAAGGCTACGCTCACTCACTAAACTGCACTCGCTAGCGGATATTTGCGTTACAACGAACACTGGGTCCCTTCTCTCTTTCCATCTTTTTCTTTTACACAGATCCGGCCGAAAGATCATCAAGATGGCGGCGCACCCAGCGAACGCAAGGCCGATTGCCGATCCAAGCTGACCATGAACGTGATTTTTTTGGAAAAAGGTTTGTCGTCGGAATGTTATTCCTTGGTTTGTCTGATTTTTTCTTTTCTTTTTAGGAAGGGACCCTCGCGTTGGTCTTGACATTAAGGCGACGTGAAAGTGGCGTCGGAGGTCTCGTTTATGACACTTCTTCCAACTGGGTGTACCGAATCGTTTGAAATTTTATGACGTGAATGTGGTGGTCGTAGGGAAGGTTCCGATACCCATGAAATGCCCAGATTCTAAAAATTTTTTTATAGATGTTAAAAATAAAAAAAATTGGAATTTCATGGATGTCAGGACCTCCCTTGTAGCCTCCGGGTTTACGTTGTAAATTTTTGAAACGATTCGGCATATCCAATTTCCAGCTGCCAGTTTCACATCCCCTTAAGACGTCGGCGTGGGACAAGTACCTGCTGCGGCAGCGACCTTCGTGTTCGAATCCCGATACGTGCCGTTGATGATCGCCAGCTCCATGAGTTGCCTCTTCTTCAACTCATCCTCTCCATCAGCCTGCTAACAATCGACATCACCGTCAGAACGTATCACGAGACGGTCGATTTGGAACGTCTTAACGTTCCCTTCCGCGAAACGCGTACTTGGCGCGGGACTCTACTTTCTGACTAGCGTAGTTAAGGCTTTATTATAGTCGAGCGATTTGTCAAGGAAAGCTAGTGGAATCGGAACTGTCTCACCACGGGTACGAGCAGCTTCTTGACTTCTTCGACGGCTCGGGCGAGCTTCAAGGTGGCTCTGTTCTCCGTGTCTTCCACCGTGAGCAGCACGTGCAACTCGTCCGTCAAGTGCTCCCAATTTGGTTTACCTCGATTCAGCTCCTCCTGGCAAATCGAAGCGCAATTGGTCATAGAAAACGCGTGCGTGAGTAATCGCTCGCGAGAAACGGCGAGTCCTTCGTTCCCGTCGACGTCTCCTTTTGCGCCGTTACGAAACCGCGACTTGGCAAAACGAGCGCCGATTAACGACGAAGACGTCCAACGTGATACCGAAATTCGTACAGATCCGTACGAGCATGCCTCATTACGTTCTACATCGACAACACCTATACACATCCACGGGTCATACTTACGAGAGCGCCCGACTTCGGACCAAGAGCTGCTTGAAACAATCACGGCTTGTTTGTACATTTATGCATCTCCGAATAAAGTCATGAAGTGTAACTGGTCGTAAATGCGCGAGGGACGTTTCATAACGTAGAAAGCGGCTCTTTTAGCGCGGCATAAATCTCATTTTCTCATTTTGCAGGAATCGAATGAAGTGGAGCGACAACTTTTCGAGAAAAGGCGTACCCAGGGGACGGTCGGTCGGGCTTCCGGATTCATTTTCATTTCCCGGTAAAACCAAGAGCCCGGACAATTTCACGGCGAGAGAGATCCTTTGGGAGGTGCTGTCCTTAATTTCCTTGATCCCTTTCCAGGCTACGACTCCTTGGGGCCATTGAGTGCCGAGATCGAGTTTCGGCCATGAGAGCGTTTCATAAATAAGCAATGAATCCGAGAATAAGGCTCAAGGATTGATTTAGAACCTAATGCGGCGGTTCGTTCCGCCGAGGACGTTCCTAAAAATCCGAGGATTAAATCCAAGGTCCTCTCCCTGGGGAACTACCGGGAAGGACCCGGGATACTCTTCGTACAATGTGATTCCGTGATTTTGGTCGAGGTTTGGGGGTTGAAGAAGCACCAGGACCCTTGCCAGGAACGTTGTACTGTTCATAATGGAAACGAGGACTAATGGCTCGACAGGACTCGAGGGTCCTCCAGCTCGAGCTAGGAATCGATAGGTCACCTCGACGTCTCCTCGAAAATAGTCGAAACTTCGACATCGCCTATCGGTAATCCGCTAACGTGAATTCCGCTTCAAGGTAAGAGTTAAACATTTTCTGTTAAGAATTAAAAGTCAGTGAAATTCCAAGCTAAGGTATCGAATGGCCCGATAACTCACGATCGAGTTGCACAAATATCCGCGGCAATTTATCTCCAGTATATCGGATAATTTAGGCCGACAAAGCAGCAGCTGGGAGCTGGCAAAACTTCCATCGATTCACCTCGGAATGAGCAAGAAGACGAAGAGGTCCGCTCGTGGCCGAATGTCACCCTTAAGTAAAGTAGAACTTGGCAGGACGTCAAGACCTCGAGCACCAGCTGCGAGGAGCGTTTAACGCGATTGCTCTCCGATTATTATTCCCACCTCTCCAAGAAACGTAAAAGTGAAACCCCATCGAGGTTCCCCTACACCGTTATCGAAGATACGCCGAAAAACTTGTCCCGCACCTATACCCCTGGGTACACCTTTCTCGCATTTTTCCGCGGCGTGAAAAATCTGAAAAAAAATATATAAAACGGAGAAAAGAGAAGCGAGAAACGGTACCTTCTTTTTGTCCCTCATGGAGCCCTTTCCTCGCACCATAATTTTGCATCCTGTCTCCTGTTCAAGCTGCTTGGCCGTCATTCCACGAGGGCCCAAAATCCTCCCCACGAAGTTGAACTGAAACGGAGTAAAGGATTCCCATGAGTAAGGGAAAAAGAAGGGAAAGAAAAGGCATTTTACGGTAGCTAATTTAACCGCGGATTATTTAATAACCGAGGAGATCGTTTTATGAGCGATCGGTTAAATCCCACCAATTAGGAGTCAATATCAATGGACACTCGGCGTCTCTTTCCCTGAGATAAACGCTATCGCCGCGGCCAATGGCGGACATTTGTGGCCAGCGGTGGGCATTTACTGGCACTAGAGTGGGCGAATTTATTGGCCGATACCGAGGCACTTAGTTATGCGCGAAAAACAGTCGGGACGTTTATTGGCCAGATCGGCTCGATATGGTGATTTCGCGAAGGTACCGCGAATGGCATTTCATAGAGAGGCCGACGTTACGGCAGCTAAATGGAAGCAAGGGATTTACCGCGTCGGATATATCGAGGACCGATTATGATAATTAAAAAAAAAAAAATAAAAAAAAATGGCTGCGTTATTAAGTCGGGATTTTTCGCCATTTTGAGACTCGTTGGAAACCAATTCATTGATTCATCGATCGAGTATTTCGGCGCGGTGGGATCGGTTGAAAAAAATAAAAGATAAAAAGCGAAATCCTAGACGTCATCGCAGATCCAATCGGATAGGACCCGAGTGACAAGAGATTCGATTAAGAGCGACGCTGTCGTCGCCACCGAAAAATCAATCTCAACGGTCCACGAGTTCCTGGGGAATCGTTAATGCGGGTGTCCGTAGAGAGGAAAAAAAGAGACGGGGAGACGCGTAGTTCAGGATATGAAGTAAGGCTCCTCTTTTATGCGAGGCCGACTCGAAGGCGCGCCCCGTCATTATAATAGGTGCCGCAGGAGAAATCTCGAGGCGGTATAAATCAAATGTAGGCGCGTACGAGGGTCGGCGGGACGTGAGTGTCCCCGAACACGCAGGCCGCTCTAAGTACCGGGGTCGAGTCACTTCCGTTTCGAGAAGCGCGGATGCAGAAGTGCACTAAGTGCAAGCACCGGGTCTTGTAGCTGGAAGCGAGGGCTCGGGGTTTTAGCGAGTGCCCGTTACCTCGTTCCAAAAGAGTCCTCGGTTTGTTAAGAGAGAAGAGAAAGCCTGGAATTAAAAAAGGGAATATCTATTGTCATAGGTGTTTGCGCGGGGCAGGTAGCAATTATCTCAATATGAAGGGGTGGGCTGGAAATTAATAAGAAAAATCATTTTTTATCGCAGGTGTCATCCCATCGAGATGCGCATCCGCCGTCTCGGAATGACCTGGACAGAAAAATTTGTTTATCCTCGTGCAAAAGGAGCCCGGGTGCAAGGATGCAGGGATCGTCAGGTGGGAGGAGGAGGGCCTCATTGTGCGGCTCTCTCACGCTTTCGCCCCGACTGGTCCAGCGGAGGATATCGCCCTCCTCTCTCGAGCCGCGCCATTAAGGACGGCTACGACGCCGACGACGCCGACGACGACGGAATAACGAGAGTTATTATTAACGGTGGTCACGATCTCCGTGACTCCGGGCCACGGGGAAAACGTGACGTGTTCCCGGCTAGGCCTAAAAGGGCCGAGGCTGCCGATCGTGAGATAAAGTGGGAAAAATTCAGGAGGTCATCGGGGGCCACGGGTGATTCGGAAATATCGAGCCGAGCCGGTGGGGGCTAATCACGAGATAGGGCTAATTGCGAGCCGGAAGGCTGAATAAAAAATCCAGCCTTCCTGATTTTCTCCCATCTCACCTCACCTTGTGGGGCCGGGCACGATGCGGTACCCCCTGGGCAGGTAGATAATAAAAGCCCGGAAAGGGATAAATTCTGGAGCCTCTTCCTTGAACCCCTCTTTCGAGGACAGAGGCGTTAAACATCCTGCCAAAAACGTAGCCTTCGGCCCCGTTATTACCGAGCCGAACGGTCTAACTCGGCTATAGGGCCAACGTCGTCGAGAGCGTGCTCTTCGGCAGGGATTCTATTCCCGGCGTGGCCAGAAATAACGCCGACTGTACACACATCTCGGGCCTCGGCCATTTGGACCCGGTGCAGAGAGGAAGACCGAGACGGAGAGGGAGAACGGGAGCGCCTTCCCCGTTTTCGAGGAAAACCACGGAATTCGGGAGTCCGGGGAAAATTCTGTGATTTTTATTAAAAACCCTCCACCCTGGCAAGGACCCATGCCGCGCATCGTTACTGCGGAAGGAGATGATCTCGCCGGAAATCTCGAGAAATTTCTACCGAACGCTCCCGGGAAATTCTCCTCCTCGGGCCCTTTCTCTCGGTCTCGCAAACGCGGTTTCGTTTTATGGGCATCTCGACGGGAGGATTTCCAAATCTGGAGCCGTGACGACACCGGGAGCGGTTATGCCCGGCCGAATGCAGCCCGAATGCAGGTCGAGCGCGGCCCGAATGCAGGCCAATGGACGGGATTGCGAAACCTCCGCGTCGGACCTGCGGCCGCTCTGCGTGAGAAAACCGCGAAACGGGACGCTGGGTGGGTAATCGGTGCAATTACGCATTTAAGATCCTCAGGTGGATCGGGAAATTTCCGGAGTGCCGAGCGTTCCGGCCATTCCTGCGGCGGTCCGTTCCCCGCCGGTTTGGGCTGCGATCGATTCATCGATTCACTCGATTTAATCGATCACGGATCGCGTTCTCCGTCCTCGCGAACGTCCAGGAATTCGAGAGAAAACGACCGCGGTTTACGGTTCGTTGTAAAAAAAAAAAAAGAAAAAACAAACAAACAAAAAGAAGTTCGTTTATAATCCACGCGAGCAGATGCCTGCCTCCTCCATCCGGTCTCTTCTCCTGGAAGCGATCGTTTTTCGCTGAACGCCGAATCGGCCGAAAGTGGATTAAGAGAGCTCGAGGAGAAACAAATACTATTGAACATTTTCGAAGGTCGAGGGAGACGGGCGATATCGACGTTTCTTCTCCGCGACACGGACTGGCGATAATGGACGTCGTCGAATCGACGTTAAAAAAAAATAAATAAAAGAAAAGACCGTGTAATGTAAGCCATCCATTTTTCCATCTCTCCGCGGGGACACGATCTTTGCTCATTTTTTGTTCTCCTCTCGCAATCGCGTCACGTCTCGAAGAACTGTGTTCGTCGGCCAACGATGACACATTCGGCTGAAAAACGAGTGTCGATTCTGAATCACCGAAATTCCCCGTTTCCACGCCCTGAGAACGCGCTCGTGATTGTTCGGAAATGCGAAAATGTGAAAATGTGAAAATGCGAAAATGCGAAAATGCGAAAATGCGAAAATGTAAAAATGTGAAAATGCGAAAATGTGAAAATGTAAAAATGTGAAAATGTGAAAATGTGAAAATACGAAAATGCGAAAATGCGAAAATGTGAAAATGCGAAAATCGAAAATGCAAAAATGCGAAAATGCGAGTTGATTACTTACATCTGGGTGTTCCTTCACCGGAACGTAAACTTTTTCCGTGAGCGTGGTGATATCGCCCTCGGGCTCCGGCAGGATCAGGGGCTCCTTTTTCACCCCGCTGATCTGGAAGAGACTCGCCCGGACTTTGGCGATTTCTGAAAAACAGAAAATCAATTCCTCGGTAAGACGAAAACTTGTTTGCATCGGGTTTTTCTTATTTCGAGGCGATCGGTGCAGGTACAGTGGCGGACATGAATGCCCTCCCATCGCTCATTGGCGCCTTATCTTCGCGAAAGGCGTTCATGTCCATCGGGGTACGTACGTACGTCGGCGAGTCGTTTTGCAAGCGGCGCAAAAATCGACAGATTACTCTCGGAGATCGAAACCCCCCGAGCCACACACTTATCTCGGCATCTGTACCTTTATTACAGCGCCGTTGCCCTAATTGCGCAACCGGGCCTCGTACCGAGTCGCGCGTAAATCCCGCTAAAGACCGATCGGGAGATAGCCGATCCTGCGATCAATGCCGCTCATTAAGGAGCGCTAAAACGCGAGGAGGTCTCAATGCTCGCGTCTATGCTCGGCCCTCGATGGCTGGAAAAAATCGAGGGCGCGTGCGCCTTTATTTCCCGTCGAGTTTCCCCTCTTTCCGAGATTACCTCCGCGACTATGCCTATGATACTTGATACGGTTATCCTTAACGCATGATTTTTTCCAATATTAATCCAGCTCGAGGTACCTTCGCAGCGAGGAAAAAAAAATGCAACGAACCAAAGAAGTATTTTGTCAATCCAAGGAATTTTATTGAAATTCAAGAAAATTGTAATTCCGAAGGAACGTCGAATTAATTCCAGTTTATTCGAATGAAATGATTATTCTTTTGACACTTTGAATGAATGAGATATTTTTTTGGTTCAATGAAAATTTTTTTTTTTTTTTTCGGGGTGCCTCTATCGGTATTGGGTTAACCCTTTATTGGCGTTGTTATCTGGGAACTTCTTTTGCGAGTCGCCGTCGCGTTCTCTCTAGGCGGCGAGTGGCCCGAGGAAATCGTCGGACCGCGCGCGGAAATCGCCGATCTGCCGCGATATCGCGACCCGTCCGCCGTTGCGTCAACGGCCGGTGCTAGGTAAACGGAGAAACCTCGTCGCGAGACCCGATCCACTCGGGAACGGGTCTCGGGAGACAAATGGCCACTACGCGTAAACTCGCGACCGGAGACACGTCGAGATTCCTCCGCGGCTTCGTAGCCTCGATTTCGCCGCCGAGCCGGATGGAGGCTCGGCCAAATCCTGGAGGACGGCCTTTCAAAGTCCCCCCAGTCCCCTGAATTTTTTTCGCAAAATTATAAACGAGCCTTTCGTACAATTCCCCCGCTTATAAAAGACACTTAGACGATATCGAAGGATCCTCCCCCAACCTCTGAAATTCCCGTAATATATATATTTTTTTATGTATCACCGTCGGAGATATGAATTTTATATCATCGGTCCATTTTATTTATTTTTACAGAGGATGTGACGAAGGCACCACGGGAAGAGGAGCCCAACCCAGTGCCGGTCAATTTCAGCGTGGTCAACGAGTCGAGACGAGAGACGGCCTCCTCGGGGCCTCGTCCTCGAGGTGGACTCCGTTTCTACGCACGTACGTGCACCGAGGATGAAAAAGAGGTTAAGAGAGTGCACGCGCGACGCATCGGTGCCGAAGAGGTGTACGTGCGGTAATGGCGATCCAATGCCGAGGCGTGGCGGGTACCACCTAACCGTAACCATCGAGGTGACCATCAAAGTGATCAGAAGTTCTGGGTGGGGACTGGGTCGACGAGATCTCCTCTCCCGAGACGATCCACCCAGCCGTCGCCAAGATCTTCCTCTGGCGACCATGACCTCGGGTAACGATCGATCCCCGAATTTTCAGCAGTTCCAGCGAAACCATTCGCGAAAAAAGCCCCTCGATCCGCCACCGAAGAATATGCTAAACCCCAAGAGAAAAAAAAAACCGGAGTAAGACCCGTGAAATCCCGCCCGGAGGTCAAGAATCCCGCTTACGGCCCACTTTCCCGTGCACTAGCCACGCGAATATCGCCCCTCGTCTCCTCGCCTCTTATTGGCAAGCGCCGAAGGAATCCTCCTCGCGCGATCGACCTCTCGAACGTATCGACTCGGGCCAAGTTTAACAAACTCGCGAAGTAATTGTCGGTTAACGTCTATTTACGGATGGAGAGAGAGAAAGAGGAAGAGAGGCCGAGTCGGCTTTCCGCGGTCGCAGAATGGAATCCGTTCAATGGGTGGTACCGTCTCGCGTGGCGTGGCGTGGCGTGGCGTAGCGTGACATAGGCGGTCGCGGGTGTGGCCGCGGCGACTCGACTCGGTCAGGAAGAAGAACCGCTTTCGGCGCGGCAGAACTCTTCTCGCGGCTGCACCCCGCGTGACATCAGCTGACCGACGCCGGCGTCGCGCTCTTGGCTCCGCCGCGGCGCGCCTCGATTTCCACGTCTCTAGCACCGCTAAATATCGGAGCAGGATTTTCTCCCCCCTCGCAAATGGTCCTAACACTCTTGATTCTCGATAAAGCCACGCGATATCGATATCACGTATCGATCTATATTTCTCAAATCTTGATTTTCCAGAGAGACTCAACATGGCGCCTCACCGTTGGAAATAAATCCTAAATAATATTAACAAGACATGACGTTGGGTAAAATCGTTAATAAATCGTGAATTAATCGCTAATATCGGGGATCATAACTTTTTGTTTCTGCAAAAAAATATATAAAAAAAATTAGGTTTCAAAGGGTTACGACTTTCAGTCGCGCCAGTCCCCTTCGTCATTTCTCTCGCGAAATCCCAGCCCTCTCGAGGTTCGCTCCAGCATCCAGAAATAACGGCTGGACCTCGGATCGCCGTCGCGTCTTACGTCACCGCGTCGCGCGTTGGGCGGACGCGCCGCCGCGGAATCCCGCGTCTCGCTCGGTCGGCCTATCTTTTTGCGCCGGGGAAATTATCCCGCCCTCGCAAGCGGCCCAGATCGGACCAAAAAGTGTGAAACTCGTCAAAACGAGACTAGAGCTTGACGCAACTCAAGGGGGGGAGGGGGCGAGGCTAAAAAATCGCAGCGGGAATTCGGCGCGTTTCTCCCGAGATCCGATTCGGTTGGCTCGGCGCGACCGAGAATTTGTTTACCAGATATACGCGGTTATAAATAGTCCGAGTTATCTTGGGATTTATATGACGGAAAGTAAGTGTCGGCGTTTATCTGCAATAAAGAGTTTAGAGAAGCGAAGGTGTGCGCGCGCGCACCTAGGCGCGCCAGTCGCCAGAAATAAGCGAGAACTGGGCACGACCTCGGGCGGGGTCACGTGACCGCGGGGGGCGCGCGAAATTCAAACGCGCCGAGGGGGCGGGAGGGAACTCCCGACAAAGAGAGCACGCCGGCGAAAATCGCTGACTGGGGCTTCGGTCGGGGGATTGATTTCAACCTCCAGAAATAGCTGCTGGAGCGCCCGTGGGCGGCTCGTTCCTCTATCGGCACCAAGCCGGATCGAAGGTGGCGCAATCGGGAGCCATTTTTAGTGCGGCTCGGATACGCGAACCCCTGCGGGCTTTCTTTAGCGCGGAAGAAAGGGGCCGGGACGATTTATCGTCTCCGGTATCGCTTATCACCCTTCAAGAAATTTCCGAAATAATTCGCAAAAGGGCTTGGCGTCGAAAAATTCAACGTTTTCAGGGCTGCCTAGAAAAGGCCAGCCTCGTCTTCCGAGATATCCCATATCAACATTTACCAATTTGCGCAGATAATTCTCCAGAGTTGAGAATTCACGAGATGGGAATATTAATCGTTAATTAAATAATTAGTTATCCCGCGGAGTCAGGATCGCGTGCGCTCCCGCTGATGAGACGTGTACTCCTGCGGTCGGGTCCACTCTTTTCCCATTGCACGTTAATGCATTACGGCTGGTGTATGGTTTATTGTTCTCGGCGTAAGCCGATCCGACCCGGCTGTCTCCGTTTCCTGCGGTCGATCAGCTGATCGATAGCAACACCCTGGCCTGATTTCCTACGCAGCCGCGACTCGCGGAAAAATCCTTCCCCCTGGACAGATATATATATCTTTTCTTCTCCCTTGCGCAAGGAAATGCCAAGAAATTGGTAATCAATGTTTGCAACGAATTAAATTGAATCGCTCTACGCTGGCGCCGGTTTCGTGGACATCGTGTCTGGAGGGTAGAGATTATAACCGAGTCACGTCGGTGGGTGTCATTCGGATAATTCACAAGTGACCCAGGGTGCATCTCCGTTCACCTGCAGTTTGGGGAGGATCTACCGTGGATTAATTTTTTCTTTGGTACGAGAACCAAAGAAGAATGTGGCTCGCTCTAACAACGTCTCCGCTTTCCCGATGGAGACCTCGAAAAACTGGCCCCGACAATTTCACATTCCTAAAATAGCGCGGCCAAGTGGTACGTATTTTTGTCGCGGCGCAATTGCTGGAGGGGCTCGACCGGTCTCCCGTGTCGGAAAAAAGAAAGACAAAAAGAATGGAAGAGAAAAAAGAAACATACAAAAATTGGAGCATTGTCGGCCGAGAGACGATCGGTCAAAAAATCCGATTCCGCCCGTGAATACCAACGAGTGGAGGCGACGGGAATGGCGCCATTTTGCGCACCGTCGGCGTTATCGCCGCTCTCTGGTGACATATTCGGAAACGTGCGAAGTAGGACGTTGCTATGCCATAATCGACGGCCAACTCACGTGAGGCTGATTCACTGGCGAGCGAAAAAGAAAAAAGTCATCCCTAGTCGAGGGTGGAATTTCCACGTTCCTATACGCTTGCTTTCTTAATCCCTGGATTTCTTTCAATCCCATTTTCGACCCCTGCGGAGTGAAAATTCCGCCGTTAAGCGACAAGCAAAGGGACTCGTCGAGTTTACGCCATTGCATCCGATGCACCTGATGCACCTGATGCACCCGATGCCGTTGAATGATTTCGTCGAAACGGCGATGGAAGTTCTTACGGCCTCGGCCATCTTGTAAAAACCGTTCGGTGGTTGTAAACGCGGCTAGAGATATTAATATCTGGGAATTAATATCGGGGGAATGAAGATTCACTTTTCGTATCGACGCTCCTCGTTTATTTCCTCGTAAGCGTCGCGCTG